CCCTCTCCCCTATTTTTATCTGACTGTATTTCTATTACTCACTGATAACAAGATATTGTCTAGTAGCTAATAATTTGAAACTTGGAGGATTCCTCCATATAGAAGAGTTAGTTATGTACGAGAACTATTTCCAGTTCTGTTGGGAAGCAAAAATGATCTTAGAAGTTCTCTTTAAAAAAATCTATCAAATAAATTTAATAGATAATTATCATAACAATAATAATACCTCTTCATAGCTACTTCCTTGTCATGGAGAAGAGGCCTGCAATGTTCTGCTGAGATTGAAAGCTATGGTGGTGGTAATGTATTCTGCCAGTAGTGTATTCTACCAGAAGGGTCACCCCACCAGACAGGTTTTAGGTTTTAGACAGGAAGAGCCAGAATACCAATTCATTGAATATGATGAGAAAACAGAAAAAGAGTCCCATACTGTCATCTCTTGGGACATGGAGTACCATGTCAGATGTTAGAGTTCCTGGGCATCTGTTGACAAGTAGGCAACAGGACTCAGGAGCTATGGCTGGGCAATCAAGACTTAGCCCTGTGGGACTTCTGGAAGGACAACCACAAGCAAGACAAAAAAGTCTCTTCGAAAATTGCACCATTATGGCCTGATATTATAAATTAGAATGACAAAGTGCAGCTACTTAAAGTGAATGTTTGAAAATTGGAAAAGAATTTGTCCAGACTCAAATATGACTGAAAAACAACTAACAGTTCAAGGGACACTCATTGCCAGAAATGAACTATTCAGAGAAGACGAACTGAAAGAGATTCAGAAAAACTGTGAAGCTGAAAGACCCAAAACAATAGTAGAAGAAATTCAGATAACAATAGAATAACAGAATTGGAAGAGACCTTGGAGGTCTTCTAGTCCAACCCCGTTCCGACAGGAAATCCTATATCATTTCAGACAAATGGTTGTCTAATCTCTTCTTAAAAACTTCCAGTTAGACCACCTACAACAGTGATGGTGAACCTTTTAGAGACCAAGTGCCCAAACTTCAACCCAAAACCCACTTATGTATCGCTGGGTGCTGGGTGGGCGTGGTTGTCAGGTGGGTGTGGCCTGCTGGGTGGGCGTGGCTACAGTGGTCATGGCAGATGGGCAGGCGTGGCCAACTTGATGTTGCTCCTGGGGAGGGACACCTGTGGGGGCCGGGCAGGGTTGGGGTAGATCCAGGGGGTCTCTGGAGGGTGAGGCGGTGGGCAGGAGGCTGGTCCTGCGGGGTAGGCGAGGCAAGGCGAGGCAGGGCGGGGGTGCCATTGTCACACGGCGAGGCAGGGGCCTGGCACCATCAGCACACAGAGGTCAGCAAGCGCATGGGTGCTGGGATGCATCCAGCCACATAGGACCTCGGCAAGTTAGTGGGTGGCTGGTTGAAGAGGACAGTTGCCATCTCCAGGGCCTGGCGCGGGTGCCCACAGAGAGGGCTCTGAATGCCACCTCTGGCACACGTGCCATAGGTTCGCCACCACTGACCTACAACTTCTGGAGGCAAGTCATTCTACTGATTAATTGTTCTAACTGTTGGGAAATTTCTCCTTAGTTCTAAGTTCTTATTTCTTGTATATCCCAATTGGAAATATAAAGAAGACAACTGATACAAATTACACAAATGATAACTTAAAAGAAGTAATAACAGAACCAGTACAAGATAGCACTGAAAAAAACCTATGAATTAATCCTCCAACAAGAAGAATTAAACACAGAGTATATGCAAAATTTCCAGTAGAAATATAAAGACTGCCAGCATAGAAAGTAGTGCCCCAAAAGACTGTCACCTATAATAATGTGAACAAGGTGCTTTGAAAGATTAAAATAACACCTATTGAACAGACTAATCACCTTACCTACAGTACAGCAAATGGTGGTTACACAAGAACAAGTATCAAAATTAGAAAGTTAAATGCAAATCATATTCAGTCCCAAAGTGAAAATATGACTGTAGGCCAAGACAAAGAAATTAAGATCAGATTCAGGCAATTTAAAAAACATGACAAAAAAATTTGAAAAATATAAGGATCAGGACAAGCCTAATTAAAACATGTTTGGCTTAGCTTTGGAAGCTTTGGAAATCATAAAAATAAATAAAAGCAATGTGGGAAAATTCCATGCTACGAGATACGAAGCATCCATTTAAGCAAAATCAGCTATTTCAATCAGATCAGAATGATTCTACTAATGCAGGGGTCCCCAATCCGCAGTCCGTGAACCGGTACCAGGTCATGGCATGCCAGCAATCGGTCTGCACAAACAAGCAAAGCCCCATTCGTGGGATGCAGGCAGCACACTCTCCGGTCTGGGATAAGATTAAATTGTTGCACATTAGGCTAACATGGTGCCAGATCTTTTTAAAAAATGTTTTAATCTGTTTAGTTTTATAGCTTTAGTATGATTTTATATATTGTTTTAACTTAATTGTGGGAGCCACCCACAATTAGCTAGAAGATGGGTGTCTATATAAATGCTTTAATATCACTTTGGATAACAAGATGAGTGGCATATAAATGTAATAATAAATAAATAAATAAAATTATATCCTTTCAAAAAACCAGGGAGCAATGTTCTCTTTTAATCAGCTGAGACATGTAACTTCTAGGTATGTTCTTTCATAAATATTACAGATAACAGAAAATAACTCAGGGCCTCATGTGGGTCACAGACTATGAGATGAAGCCTTTATTTTTATGTATGTATATTTGTGCATGTATAAATATTCAGAATGTTCTACAGAATTTAAAACTACAGGAACATAATAAAGAGAAAATTAAAAAAGAGAAAAAGATATGAAAAGACAAAAAAAGTGAAAAACGATAAAAGTCAAAGAAAAAAATATAAAGAAGCAAGTTCTAACAGTCTTAGTACGTCATACATTTATTTGTGTCTCTTACCATCCTCTACCTGATCTATAAAAACTTGTGAGAACTGACTCATCCATGTGGCAGGAGTCATCTGTGTCAATTAGTAGTCACTTAGAAACATGAGATTTTGATTTTATATGACAAATAATAGTTGCAAATCTATACTTCCCCCCTTTATTGTTGTTATAATTTTGCTTTCTGCTTCTTTTTGGAAACTACTTTTGCTGGTTTTCTTTTACAGTACTAATTTCAAATAGATCTGTTTCTGTCGCACAGACTTGCTTCAAAGTCATCAGACTTTTCTGACTCCTATTTGTAAAGATCCAATATTCTTTGTGAATAATTACTAAAGACACAAGCAGGTAGTAAGTGGTATCACAATCAAGGAAGGACAAGACAAACAGGGACAGTTTGCCTTCTTTTCTCTCTTGAAAAAGTGAAAGGAACAGATAATATTTGTTACAAAAGCTTAACTAAAAATTTGGTTAAGGCTTTCAATTTTAGTCTGAGGCTTATAGGGAATTAGATTGAGGACTGTATTACTCTTTGGGGACCACAAATTGGTTTATCTTCTGGACTTTGTTGTTTATCTTCTGGACTTTGTTGTTAGTATCTCAACATTGTTTCACGCCAGGTAATTAGCGGGAATAATATAAAACAGCAGATATTATTTCTATTTTAGTCTTGTGTTATTAATACTATAATTTCACTAGTCTTAAATGCAACTGAGAAATAATGCATTGGCCGCTTTGCAACATTCCCTCATGAAAATTATTCATTTTGCTGGATGGTAAGAAATCACCAATCATTTTAATTAAAAATATGGAAGAAACAGGACTATATGCTATTCTTTTATTTCCTATGAACATTTGGTTCATGCTGTTTGATTGGTAGCAGATAGATGACTATAGGCTGGGAAGTGGAAGCTATGTTGGGATAGAAATATCTTAAACCAACAATTTATTATCTTTTTAGATATCTGTATAGATCATAAGTACAGGTAGTCCTCAATGTATTAAGCCCAAAATTTATATTGTTAAGACATTTGTTAAGTGAGTTTTGTCCCATTTTACAATCTTTCTTGCCACATTTGTTAATTCAATCACTGAAGTTATTAAGTTAGTAACACAATTGTTAAGTGACAGTCTTCCCATTAACTTTGCTTGTCAGGTCATAAAAGTTGATCACATGACCCTGGGACACTGCAACTGTCATAAATATGAACCATTTGCCAAGCATCCAAATTTTGATCATGTGACCGTGGGGATGCTGCAATGGTCATAAGTGTGAAAAACGGTCGTAAGTCTTTTTCAGTGCCATTGTAATGTTGAATCATCACTAAACAAATTGCTGTTAAGTCGAGGATTACCTGTACAGGACTTGTATATCGTAAGTATAAAATGATGTCTTTGACCCTCTACAAATTGAATTGTGCTTGAACAATTAAACAATAAAGAACTGAACAATAAAAACTGAACAATTTTTAAAGTTATGCATAGGACTGATAGTACTGTTGTCCTCTCCCCCTTTTATTGGAGCTCTTGTTTTAAAAACTGCTGGCATCTATAGAGGCATAACCAGTGCAATATTGCAAGACATAAAAACTGGGGGAAGAGGATAGGGGAGAAAGAGGAACATTATCTTTCCTTGCTTGTAGCTATAAATTTCTTTCCAGAAAAAACAGCGACACCATACCTGATATAGGAATAATAAATACCTCTGCCACAGAAAGAGAAACGATAACCAAACTAAAGAAATATTAACTATACTTCCAATTAAAAAAAGGACAGTGCCTTACAGCTTGTGTGCATTTGCCGGGTATTTAACTGCGTCAACATAAACTTAAAAGGAGCATATTTCCGTGGAAAAAAAGGACTCAATCCCTGTCGATCCCAATCGCTTTCGAGGTAGGCCTAGTCTAGTGGCAGCACCTGGAGCAGGTGGTTCTAACTTCGAGATTTTGGACCGAGTTTCTTCTTTCTCTTCTGCCCAACCAATTGGCAATCGTAACCGCTTTTCTGGTGGCCTGCCAAGTCCTCCAGGTTCCCATGTTTTGCCCCAATTCGCACGGGGGGGGGGCGGGCGAACTCCCACAATGCACCGGGCTTCTGCCGCTATTTTTTTTGAGGGGGAAAGCGAAGAGTCGTCTCAGGGACTGAGATCTGGGGTTCGGGGTAAAGGTTTCATAAGAGCGAAGAGAAAACCTTGAACTGACAGGAGTGTGGGGAACGGTATGATGGAAGGGAGCGAAGTGTTCGATACAGATAGCGATGAGACGATAGTTGAGGGGTCCGTGGTTGAGAGCGACCTGGAAGAAAAAGAGTTTCGTGCGGAAAGGTGACAGTGGCTCACGTGGGGGTGTAGGTGTGAAAGGTGTCTGCAAAAGCACTTTGCCCGGACTTCATTCTTTACATTAACGTTCCTCAACTTGGTGCCTCTTTTACGCTGGCCTCCATCATTCCCGGGAAAGTGAGGGAGATTTTGGCTTTAGTCGATGGACGTTGTACATCAAATGGTGGAACGGCTGCATTACTCTTTGAGGCGAGCTGCCAAATATTCTTAATATTTGCAGCCCTAAACAAGATTATGCACAGTACTTAGTCTCAGGAGAATTGAGGGTTCTGAAGTGTTTTATATCAACGTGTAATAAGAGCCTTTTTGAAGCATTGTGCATACTATAGGTCCTATTTATTCATTTCAGTTTTGATGCTGCTGGACTCCAACACTGGATAGCTGACAATATAAAAGCAGAAAATACAAATAAAATAATGGAAATAACAAAATAGACAAAATATACAGTATCAAATACCTCTATCAAGCTTCTTTTCCATGTTCAAGGTTTTCATAGGCATAGCTAATGTAAACCTTCCTATTTCTTAGTTTACAGGAACAAAGACCAAGTGACTAAGTTCAGGTGCTTAAGTGAATATAAATACAACATCATTGACAATATTCACTATTTTCTACAAGAGATTATGGCAGTGGAATGAGTAGTCTAGACTCTAGAACATTCATTTTTATTTCCTCTCCACTGTATGTTTAAATCTCTAAACAGGAATTTGGTAGTAAAAAATAATGTGTTGTGCTAAGTATAAGAATTATGTATTAACTAATCTAATGGAAACATATAAATATCATTTGCATAGGGGAAACCATGGGGAAGTCAACATGTAAAAATAACAGGTGTAACTTGATGGCTAAAGTCCTCCTTTTTAAAACGCATTATATACATCAGACAAAACAAAAATGTATGGGGTTATCATCTAGTTCGTCTGCCATTTTAATATTATTGATCCCCTCTAAATATCCCTAATTTGTTATTATCCTGATAAGTATAATTAACAGTAGTATCAGGTAATTAATGAGTAAATGTTCTATTAATTTCTTCAGTCTTTTTTACAGAAAGCACAAGATTGTTTTGGTTAAGATATAAATAGATGAAAAAATCTGCTAACTGAAAAGTATAAACAATTTAATTGATGTATGTTTGTGCAATAGGATATCAAGGCGTCCTTATTGACTGCTCTGGTACTCTTACTGTATCCATGGATCTTTTTTAAAGTATAGTTTGCAAACATTCTTTTGAATATTTAAAAATTATAGAGGAAACGTTCATGTATGAGTTCATTAATTAAAAGTATTTATCAGTTGTATTTTGTCTGAGCCAAGACATTTACTTCCTGAGACAGATAAGAAAAAATCTCTCTACCTTCCATCCTGTGTTTTGAAACTAAGCAAGCAAGTTCAGTATAATTCACAAATTGGCAGTTGAATAGTATTGTATCTTTCATTACATTTTTCAGTATAGGCAGTTCTCCAATGCCCTTAAATTGCAAATTCAAAACACCTCTATGCAACAGTATTAGTTTTCCAGCAATTGTATATCTGATATTTTCTAAAACTTATGTCCTGAGCTATCTGTTTTTCAACCAGCTCATTTATTCACAACATGCTTAGCTTAGTTAATGAGAGTGCATAGTCTACTATATTACCTTCTATCCTATGTGTTCTTTTATTATGGCTCTACATTTATCAGAGGCAATTACTATTTCTGTTTAGCACAAAACCTATATTTGTAATCAAGGTTAACTAATTAGAAATGGGGCCACTCTGACTTCAGAATAGTGAAGCCTCATATGAACATGATTAAACATCTGTCCTGTAAGGGAATGTCATCTATAGATCTTTTTAATTGTTTCTTCTCAATGAGAATTGGTAAAAACTGGAGCTAACAGAGACAGCTGTAATTAGTAATAGCCTTATGAAATATTGTAGTTAATAGTTGCCTCTATGATATATAGTAGAAGGCTCTGTGGTATATATTTTGAAAGATACACTTTCTACAAAGAATTTTTGAATGCCCAAATAAGGACTATAGCCCTTGAAAACTAGGAAAAACTGGAGTTACCAGAGATAAGTTGTAGTTAGTAATAGCTTTTGCTGTCAAGATTTATAACAGAGTTCAGTACTAAATCACAGCTGTCCAGATGCTGCCTTTAATTCATCATTTGGCTTAACTTGGCATAAGTTTCTCAGATATTCTGCTATATTAGAATATTTACTGTACATAATGATATCTTAAATATAACAATTGCTTTCCTTGTACAAGGAAAGGAAGTCAGAATCTTCTGCATTTTTTACTTAATAGATACTTGGTCAGTCTCATGTAGTTTGAGATATAGCTGAGATATATTTACATAATAGTTCTCTCTGTCTTGGGAATCTCTGGTTTCTGCATTGCCAACCTCAGTCCTTATATATGTGAGACAAACTAAAACTAAGATGTGTTCTATATTTTTTAGACTCTCTTTAGTGGATAAAGACATGGTATGGGAAAACAGCATTACTTCAGAAGTAGCTAATACATATGGAGGTAAGAAGAGATTTTTTTTCTCTTTTATATTTTATGAAAAGAAAAACATACAAAATTAATAAAAATACAAAAAATAAAATTAAAACAAACAACAGGCAGAAAGTAATACGTATTAAAATAAATCAATATACAATGAAAGTTAAGTCTAATAAAAATAAAATATTTTTACTAAAATATTTAAAAATAGTTTTATCACAGAAATTGTCCTCACCGATTTCTTCAATCTTAACATATCATTTTAAGCTTCATTCCATATCTTAACATCATTATTTTAAAATAACATATAATTCACATATATCATGGTGATACCCAGATATTTTACTTTTTTCTCAATCATAAAACCTGTTGTCTTCATCAATTCTGTTTGATTTTCTTTTTGCTATTTTTGGTTAATATCATTTAAAAACCTGCTAGTGTACCAAATTCTTTTAATTTTCCTATTAATGTCTGTCTTCCCTTTAATGGATCCTCCAGATCACTAAATCAAGTCATCAGCAAATGCCCTTAACCTATAAGGTTCTTTTTCTATCTATCTATCTTACAAGGTTATCTCCATTGACAATTATTTGTGCTTTTTGTGAAGTATAAACCAATTTTACATATTTTATAATATTTTCTTCAAAATTCATATCTTCCAAACCTATTATCAACAGCTTTCCCTGCATCTAAGAAAATCAGTGGGACTATTTTCCGTCTGTCAGCCAGAATATGATGTCAGCTGACAGTTTCTTTTTACAGAAAAAACTCAAATCTTCTTCTTCCTTAGATATTAATACTATATTAGTCTCTTTGCAGCTGTTTGGTATGTAAAACAGAATTCATAGTATTTTGTAAAGATTGCAATAAAGTTCATCTTCAAAGCATTTATGGTAAGCTAGTAAGCACCTTTCTTGCTTTAGTCTTCTTTTATAGTTTCACAAACTTTCCTTATTGTTATGGGTCCATTCATAACCTCTTTCTATTTCTCTATAATTTTTAGTAAATATTGTTCCTTTAAATATTATTTCTTTTCTCCAGGAAAATTTCTTGTGCTTTATCCATTTTGCATAATGTTGATGAAATACATTTTGCATATCCACACTATCTGTTGTTACAGTATCTCCTTGTAATTTCAGTATTTACTTTTTTTTGTAATTTGCATGCCAACCATTTACTTGTTTTTTTGCAAACTCATATTTTTTATTTTTGCATAATTCATCTTTCATTTCTCTTAGGATCCTTTAATATAGCTAATTGTTACTATATATTCTAATTTGTTGAAAAAATATTTACTTTTCTAGAAACATCTTTAATTCCTTTTCTTTTTTATGTTTCTATTTAGTAGCTTGGTTTTCTCTTGCCTCTTTTTTGAGTTCTTTAAACAGATTTATAAGAAATTGAAAAAAGAAGTTATGGGATTGTGAGAGCCCTAGGTATTAACTTAGGATTTCCTATATAAAAATTTGATCATTCTTATCAGATGTCCTCATCATTTTTTCAAAAATGTGCATTTTTTCCTCTTTCTGCAGTGTAGACAAGCTTTGTGGATTTAATGAGGCAAAGGTAACCTTTTTCAATGATATGTGCCATAAGCAGTATGTAGATACAGATGCATGTATATGGCAAGATTTTTTCTGTCTTGTTTCAATGAAGCAGTTTATTCTTGCATCAAATATCCCTTTGACTGGTCTCCTCTCCATAATAACGAAATACATTTATGCATCAGAAAGCTCTTTAGGGCTGCAATTTTATGCACATTTCATTGAATGTAAGTCCCATTAAAAAGAAGAATTTACTTATGAAGGCATACATAACATCATATAATGCAACCAGAAATTTAAAACCTGCTTTATATATCCAAAATAAACTCCAGAGTTGCTGTGAATATGGTAACATATACATACAATCTATTATTCTTATTAAATTCTTAACTATGTGTATTGGTATTAACAATGCTGTATTGTAAAGATATACAAAGTGATTAAAGTGTAACATCTGTTCTATTTATTTTATTTAATCAATTTATATAGCTATCTTGCATCTGTTTATTATGTCAAAATGAGGGTGACAGAGATAATAGTCATAATTGATTGAAAACTTTTTCAGGTTGTTAGAATGATAAGTTATTGATTTATGTGACTGTTACCATGCTTCTATTAATTATTTTCATCTCTAATAATAGAAATGCTTTCCCCAAACATTCCGTTTAATTGCATCAAATTCCATGCCCATAAACAACTGGGACTATTTAATATGGTATGTAATTGCTCAGATTTGTTGTGATGATTAATATTCAAATAATATTTAAAAGTCTTGAGCTTAAAAATGATTTTTATCTAGTATTAGGTAGGAATAATGAGCAGTGATACAAAATGGATGCATTGTAGGATCTTGAATGGTAAGAGTGTTTAGAAAATTCCCTATATTAAATATAGAGCTAAAAGTACAGTAATTTAATGAGGTGTTTAATTTCTTATCTTGCCTCCAATGCTGTGATAGAACTGGTCATCTTACTGATGAAGGGGAAAAAGATTATTTCCATGTATTATGACCTTATATTTTTAGTAGCTTTAGAATGGGAAAGTGTTCACAATGAACAGAGCATTCCACAGAATGTCTTTGGAAGGATAGAAAAAAACTGTAGTACAGAGGTTAACCATATTTTTTTTCATCAAACATATGGCATGAAAGAGATGCTTAAATACATTCATACACAAATAAAAAAGGTTGCAGTGCATCAAAAGAATCTGCCTGTTTTATGAGCAAAATGAGTTTGCTGAATGTTAATCCTTATTATAGCAATATGTAAAATGTGGACTTTATTATTTCCAACAAAACTTTTAAAAACTTTATTTTCCTTATTTTTATTACTATTCCATTATTAGGCAGTTGTGTATTTTGCTAAAACAAGTAAAAGCTAGCTTTAATATTTCCTTAGTTTAAATATACTTATATATAATTTTATCAGGTTAAATTAAATTAATTAAACAAGGAATAAAATATTACAAAACATGCTATAAATGTTATATGTGTTACACTGAGGAAAAATACAAAGATTTTGTTCAATAAAAGTTAATAATATAACTACACAGGTACATAAAATAGCCACATAAAGATATCTATTTTTGAAAAATAGAAACATTAGTGCACTGAAGATATAATTATACGAAGTATAAATATGGATATTTAATATTATCAATATGAGATAATATAATTTTTCATATTAGACTCTATAAGTGTGGCTTAGCTGGGAATGAATTTTTGGAGAAGCCTGGATCCTGAGTTTTTTAGAAAATACGTATATAATTGCATGACTTATTTTAACACTAAATTTTAGACAAGGTATCAACTTATATTGCAAATATTATATCCTATGAAATATGCAGTTCAATTACTATTTGTACTAAAGTTGAAAAATAAAGTAACTGGAATACCTTTCACTGGTTTCAGTATAACTTAGTGTTATATAAATGTCCATGGGATTAATTGTTAATTATTATTTATTGTTTTCTGAACCAAATTGTTTTTTTTTCTTCCAGCCATATCAACAGATTAATGAAATGGAAGAATCTCAATCTCTGCTCCCGTAAATACAATATCTCTGAGAACTATAACTGATTTTGCAAGTGCTAAGTTGCTACCTATATTGTTAATGGGTTGCAGCATCCAGCTGAGAAGTAGTACCATTGATCTCTGTCTCTCTCTGTTCCTCTTTGTATATAGAATTTATAGTATGTTCTCACTGATATAAGAATGGAGGGGGAGCTGTTCTGGCTTAAATACATCTTCAACCATAGATTCTAATGTGACATGCCGTGCTTTATATCATGGAGCACTAAACGTTATAATAAATTTAATATAAACAACAGGTGTACGTATGTCCATGCATTCTTATATTCAAATCTTCTGTATCTGGAGGTAGGGACAGTATCTAGAGGACAATACCAGATATGTTTTAAAGTGGATGTAGAAGATAAAAGGGCTGGAAGTTCCCATGACCCATAACATGTCATAAACTCAACTCAGTAACTTCCCTTTTTCCCTTTTCCTTCCCCCCTTTTTTTCTTTTCCCTTTTTTCCCCTTTTCGTTCTTCATTTATTGCTTGATCCTGCCTGCTTATATTTGAATGCAACCCGATGTAATTTTAAACTTCCCCTGAAAAAAAGTCAGTTTTACCTATCAGACACCAAAAGCTTGCTGGAGAAGCCAGGTCTTAATTCCTTTTTGAAAACTCAAAATGGTGGGACCTATCTGATCTCAAGGAGAATGTTATTCTAGGGAAAAGAAGCTATGGTTGAGAAGGCCTGACTGCAAATGAGAGCTCGAATGAGGAAACACTCTTTTTAAAGAACAAGAAAAACTTGCTGAAAATCGATGTTCCTAAAGATACTCCAGCCTTGAGCCATGAACTGCTTTATTTGCTTTTCTGATATATTATAGAGATACAGATGTAGAAAAAGAGAAATCATTCATCCCTACAGTTATATGACATTTCTTAATATTTCATCTATGCAGATTTCTATCAAGAAATATTTCAGTGGTAGGGAAGAAATAGTGCAGTCATTTCAATGGATGGGTAATTCAGAATTCCTATCTTGTAGGAATTAAATCAATTAGGGTTGTTAGTTAAGGATGGCCTGTATGTGATTCCTTTCCTTATTCAGTGTTGCTTTTGGATGATCTTTATTTGATGTATTTGATTGCTTGAATCAAAATTATAGGAAAAGATTTGAATTAGGTCTGAGGTCCATCTTAGGTAGAGTTCTATGTTACACATTATGTAACCAAATATATCTGGGCACAAACTGCAGTTACTGTCTTTCACTCCTGCCCTTCAGCAGCTGCTATGTAGTCTGATTTTAATAAAATAAAAGTGAAACCAGAAGCTTCTGAGAAGTTGATAAGCAGATCAGGAAAACAATAAGTGTTGATATTTTTCTCCACATTATCTTGTATTTAGAAGTTGGCTACCATTGGTCATGGAATTTTAATGAGTAGACATGGCTTAATTTGATAATGGGGAAAATGTGCTGACATTAAGAAAACAAATGCAGTATCTCCTGTAGATATATAATTAACTCCACTCTTTATATAATTATATATAAACTCTTGAGTTTTAAGACCTAAATCATCGCAACATTTAATTTACTTTAATCAGAATATTTTTTTATCTAGGATTGAGATAAAAAGTGCTGTCAATGCCACAAATATTGGTCAACTTGATTGTGTATCAGCAGCAACTGTATATGGAGAATATAAATGCATTGGTATGTTTTACAATGAAGTTTAACATGGATGGCTGTAGGTATTATGTATACACAGAAATTATATAAAAGTGGAAATGTGTATTTGAACTATGTTTTATTTATTTATAAAATTTATTTGCCTCCCATCTCATATCCAATGACTCTGGGTGGCATACAAAATTAAAAACATTAAAATAATCCATTATAAAAACACATCAAATGAAAACATTAACAGATAAACTCAAAGAAGCCAGATGGCAAAGAAAAGCTGGCTGGGTGGGGGGAGATGGCATTGAATTTTAACTACCGATAGTCAACCTCCAGTATAAAGATCCCCCATTGGATCCCCAAGCCATCTGGCAGAGGCAGGTGTTGAGGTGCTTTTAAAACATCAGAAGAATGGGAGCCAGTCTCACCTCGAGTATGTTCCAGGGGGCAAGAGCCACGGCAGACGAAGCTGTTCTCCAGGATTCTACCAGCTGAAATTCCTTGGCTGACAGGATCTGCAATATGCTCCCTCTGTTCTTTTGACAGTTGATATTTTAGAAATTGTGTTATAGATGGTATTCAGAAGATTAAAAACTTGTATTATATATTAAATTAAAATTATATATGCAGAAAGATCTTATATTATAGTTGGATTTAAATTTCCTGAGTTAAAGAAACAGTGGATAATAATGCAGAAAGTAAATATAAATCTTAGCTTTTAAAAATGTTTTAAAAATAAATATAATGATAAAATCTAAAATATTCTTACTCAGAAAACTTTAAAGTATTCTTGTTTGTTATTATTCTAGGTTTAGAATCTAAAGTGCCTGGAGTTCTCGAGATGTCACACCAAAATGTAGGTCTGTTAATGGTTCTCTGCTTGTAAATAAGTAGTTACATTTGCATTGTTCAACTTAAGATTTATAAGTTAGTACAAATCTTTAGTTGAAGAATGATATTGTTGCACAGATCACGGGCAGCCTATAAGTCACATACTAACATAGTGCCTACTGTAGTAAAATAGAATTTTACTTTTGAAGCAATGCTTTGAAAAATAAGTACAGGCACGATTTCGAAGAGGCAGAGGAACTAGAGATCAAATTGCCAATATACGCTGGAACATGGAGAAAGCTAGGAAGTTCCAGAAAAAGATCTACTTCTGCTTCATTGACTATGCTAAAGCCTTTGATCACAACAAATTGTGGCAAGTACTTAAAGAGATGGGAATACCAGATCATCTTATTTGTCTCTTGAGAATCCTATATGTAGATCAAGAAGCAACAGTGAGAACTGGACATGGAACCACTGATTGGTTCAAAATTGGGAAAGGAGTCCGGCAAGGCTGTATTCTGTCTCCCTGACTATTGAACTTATATGCAAAGCACTTCATGAGAAAGGCAGGGCTTGATGAATCAAAAGTTGGAATTAAGATTGCCGGGAGAAATATCAACAGCCTAAGATATGCAGATGATACCACTCTAATGCCAAAAAGTGAAGAGGAACTAAAGAGCATCTTGATGCGGGTGAAGAAGGAGAGTGCAAAAGTTGGCTTGAAATTCAACATCAAGAAAACCAAGATCATGGCATCTGGCCCTCTCAATTCCTGGCAAATAGATGGGGAAGAAATGGAAGTAGTGACAGATTTTATCTTCCTGGGCTCCAAGATTACTGCAGATGGGGACAGCAGCTAAGAAATTAAAAGACGCTCCTGGGGAAGAAAGCTATGGCAAATCCAGACAGCATACTAAAAAGCAGCAACATCACCCTGCCAACAAAAGTACATATAGTCAAGGCCATGGTTTTCCCAGTTGCAATGTATGGATGTAAAAGTTGGACCATAAGAAATGCTGAGCGCCAAAGAACTGAGGCCTTTGAACTATGGTGCTGGAGAAGACTCCTGCGAGTCCCCTGGACTGCAAGGTGATCAAACCGGTCAGTCTTAAAGGAGATCAACCCTAACTGCTCCTTAGAAGGCCAGATCCTGAAGTTGAAACTCAAATACTTTGGCCACCTAATGAGAAGGAAGGATTGACTGGAGAAGAGCCTAATGCTGGGAAAGATTGAGGGCAATAGAAGAATGAGACAACAGAGAATGAGGTGGCTGGATGGAGTCACTGAAGCAATAGGCGTGAGCTTAAATGGACTCCAGAAGATGGTAGAAGACAGGAAGGCTTGGAGGAACATTGTCCATGGGGTCGCGATTAGTCGGACACGATTTCGCAACTAACAACAAAAATTGTAACACATTGGACCCATCAATGACCCATGTGGCCATTAAAATAAATTCATGCAATTTTCTTCAACCCTTCCATTACTCTTTATACTGGACTAGTATAAAAACCTACAACAGATATCATTATCCAAAGTTTGTGCTGTGATCAAAATATTAAAGATGCCATGCTTATGGATATAATACAAAATATTTACAATGCTTTCTAAGTGAATAACCCAGCTAATACTATGATTTCAGCACAACGAACTTTGGAAATATTAATTGGAAATACATCAATTAATAGAGTTACAATGTAAATTATAGCTGTTACTACAACTTTTTAAAATCTAGGCACTGTTACCAAACAGCTATTTTAGGGCAATCTACAAACAACAATTTTGGTTCCATAGGGTAAAAATTGTGAAAAAAGCAGAAATCTAGTGAAGGAATTTTTCAAATCCAGAGTATTTAAGATTACTTAATCAACTCATACTTAACAGATTTGAGATTTTCACCTGAAGAAATACAATGCACAATAAGATTCATCCCCCTTCCCTTAAAGTCCAAGAATAAAAGTATTTTTTTTAAATGTATAAGACAGTGATTTTATGTGTCATACTGTTATTCTAGAAGACATTAAAGAAAAAAGGAGTATGGCTGTTTGCAGACATTCACAACTGCTGTCACATGTCTTCAAAATATCCATCAAAAAAGTACTAGAACAAAAATTCTTCTGCTAAAATGGACAGTAAAACAAACTGGATTTTTGAGGTTTCATATATTGCTATTTAAAGAATACCCAGATTTTTATTCCTAACTTTTAGTGCATGCTCCCTATTTTTTTCCCCCAGAACTCTGGCATAGTTCAATATAATAAAGGGGCATTAGATGCTTTACTCTATTTGGAATTATATACTTTAATTAATTAAATATTGATATTACAGAACTAGATACACTTATCAAGCTGCCTTATGAGATATCACTCTCTTTACAATTAATTACATTAAGAATGAAATTATTATTTTTGTATATATGGTGGATGAATTATATTTGTCCATAATTTCTCAGACAAGTCAATTAAGGATCATAAATAGAAACTACTGAAAATTTTAGGTCATTGTGTTGCGGCAGCAAAAAACATTTTGTAAAAAAGCATCTTTAATTATCATTAATTAACTTGTATTGAGAAATATGAGTGTGTTCAAAATGGTTGTAATAAAAATGATAAAATACCAAAAGGTATAATTAAAGTTACATTAAAAAGGACTTTCGGTTTTGCCCTGTAGCGATCCGCCCGAGGGATCGTGGCTGATTTCACCCCCCAGGGGACCCTAAATGAGTCAAAAGTTGCCCTGGAAAGGTGACAAAAAAGGAGGGGCTTCTTTGGGGGAAGTCCTCCAACCCAACAGGAGAAGGCTAGCTGTACCTCAGTGTCTAGCCCAAGCTACAAGCAGTCCAAAAGTATGAACCAGAACAATGGTGAACAGCGTGCTTAAAACTGGGTGAGAATATTGATCTTCTCTCTTCTATTTTGTAACTGATTCCCTGGAAAAAAAATCCACAAAGCAAGAAATCCTCTGAAAGTGGATTAACTTCTAAAGGGGAAAAATATACTGAAATGAAATTAATAACACTATAGTCTGGATAAATCTGAAAATTAAGAAAACTGTTAAGATTTTACCCCCTAAAGAGTTTCGATGAATTTGTAAAAAATAAAACAATTTTTTTGTTTGAAAAAGTTGGAAAATAAATAACTACTGACATCTAGTAGAGAATCAGAGCATAGAACAACAGCAACTCTAACTCAGAAATTGGAAAAATGCTCAGAAACAAAAAATAATCTGTTCCCTTGAACTTTAATAACCTTCAACCAAATAGAAAACAGCTGAGAACAAAGAAAGAAAATATACTTTTTACTAGCTTAAAAAGTTTGCAGAAAAAGAAAATGTTAACTGTTGTCTAAGCTCAAGAATTGTTTGCAGAAAAAGAAAAAAATTGACCCTTGGCTAATCTTCTAGGGGAAAACTTACTAGAAGGCTACAAGGTGGCTAAATACTCTGGATTGCAACTCTGACCGGTTGATAACTGACCCCTGAATAGAAGAATTGTTATAAAATACTGCTTCCACTGATACCTTGACAACTGGAAATGCATTGGATTACAAAAATTATATATAAAGATAAGAACTATACGTTTCGGATTTTGAGATTGGCTGCCTCAATAAGGCTAACTACAGAGACTATGGTACTGGTGAAAGATTATTTGGAGGGGGGGAGACAAAATGGATATTGCATATTTATCTAAAAGGGACAGGAAACCATACCAAATATTCCCTTCTGAAAGATCTAGCCTGGAACATCAGAGATCTGCAGGAGTAATCAAGACGAGACAAGTACTTTTCAGGAGGAAGTGTATGCAATGCTATGACAGATTCAAATGACAATAGTTTCAAACCACGATGAGATCAAAAACAACTTTGATGACATAAATGAGCACATCTTTAAACTTACAATTAAAAAACTCAGAAAACGATGATGAAGAATGAACAATCAAATCAGATAACAGAACAGAAACTAGAAGAAAGTGACTTAAATAGGGAAACTACAAATAAAGAGAACTATAATACAAACAGAAAAAAATCTACAAGATTTTATTACCACAGTGAAAATGGAAAAGATATTTTATCCGACAGGACTTCAAAACAAATTCGAGGATAAGAAAGAAGATTTTAAAAAATGGATTATAGAACTGCCAGGAAAATCAGAATCTGGGAGATAAAAAGCATACCTTCTACTCAAGCTGTCCTTCATGCTCCCAACAACATCTACAAAAATACAGGAACTTCCTGGCAAGTGGAATATTCTAACTTGGAAAGATACTTGGCAAAAGAAGAAGGCTAGAGTTAGACTAAAGAGATCTGATTCGACTTATTAGATGGGGTACTACATGATTAAACATTTGTTTGAATATGGTTAAAATAATAGATAATTTTGAATATAAAGGGGCCATATATTAAGAGATATAAGTAGTATAGTATTTTTTATAATATATAAAATATTAAAATACTGGAATGATGTATGTGAGTGGAAAGTTTAGACATTTAAAGGTAATTAAATGAGAGAATTATGACTGAGAAGAATGATTTGAATACAGAGGGGAAAGTAAGCTTAAATAAGAATTTTGAAAACAGGATCACTTTTACAAATATAGTTGAAATATAAGCTGCTCAGAAAATATGTTATATGTGGATGTTATAGGATATATAAGTAGTATGGTATCTTTATAATATATGAAATATGAAAATATTGGGATGGGGTATGTAAATGAAAAGTTTGGATATTTAGGTAATTAATTTTGAGAAAATTATGACTGAGAAGAACGGTTTGAATACTGAGGAGAAATTAAGTTTAAATAAGAATTTTGAAAACAGGACACATAGTGAACTAACAAGATGACTTTTACAAATACAATTCAAACATAATTAGAAAAGATGTTATATATGGACATAATTGTTATTTGTACAAACACAAAAAGTGTTTATATCCAACCTTGTATGTATTGAAAATATTATTATATTTATCTAATGTTAATGAAGGAGAATACCATTGGAAGAAGGGAGGATCAAGGAAACATACTATTAATTAATATATTGATTATGGAATTATAGAAATTAATTATCATTGATTGTTTGTTCAAATATATGAACCCAGACAACACACTGTTTACTAAGCACTAAAGATTGTTATTGCAAAAAACCAATAAAATATATTAAAAAATAATAAAATAAAATAAAGTTATACTAAAGAGTATCTTTATAAAAATAATGTGAGTTCTTTTTTATTGCAACCATGGTATTTTATTTTTATTTTTAGAATGATCCTCTAGAAAAAAGTCTTCTCTCAAATATGGATGCAGTAAAGTCATTCTCAAATGATGTGCCAAAATACCTAGAAACATCAGTGACTTTCCAAAGCGGAATGATCAGTGGCAAGAATGATTTAGCAGATAATGATCCATTTCATGAAGCAATAGCATCTAACAAGATTATAAATAATATCGTAGATAAAATGTTTGGAGTGAAACATATAATAGAACCACTTGATGAAATTGAAACCAACCAAATGTCTGACATTTTAGCATGTCAGAATGATATTTTTTCTATAGATACATCTGTAAATGAGGAGAGTAATACTTTGCCAGTAGAACTTCTCACAGCTCTAAACACCTTGACAGAATCTATAGGAGCAGTAGTAGACAGAACTGGATCAAGCACAAGAGAGAAGCAGCTAACACCGGAAGATGATGATGATGTCAGAGAAATAATAGAAACAGATTTGAAATCTCAGTGTCATTTGCAATGCCATGAAGAACCAAAAGCTTTAACGATAGCCAAGATGTCATGCACTTCAGGCGAACACGTATGTAAATACATACATATGAGAGAGAGAGTGTTAATAGGAAACATTTTCAGCTATGTACACAGGTTTATGTTAGATCAGCAATGTATGTTTTAATTGACATGATCAATGTTATTTTTTTAATTATATCTTGTTATTTCAGAGTTACTGGCTAATTATATAGATAGATAGATAGAGAGGGGGGGAGGGAGGGAGGGAGGATCCATTAAAGAGGAATAGTACAGGCTGGGGTTTTTTTTCAGATCCCTCAGAGGGTTGGGAATTTATTCTGCATCTTCTCTCATAAACTGAAGGGTTGAGAGGGGACTGAGAGAAGGGGAATGCATAAGCAGTATGTTAAACTGACCTGTCAGATCCATTCATTTAAATCAAGTGTGCTAAAGTTATCCTATAGGCCCTGGTACATTTTTATTAATTTGACCACATATTTGGAAAAGTTGCAAGTTACCCCTGTAAGTTACTCCTGTTTCTTTGTCTCCTGGAAAGCTTCACTTTAGATCTCAGGAATTGTATGCCATCTGTCTGCATTCCATTCTGCCTGCCCACCCATATTTCCCTATTTGTCTTTGCTCTATAACAGGAGTCCCCAACCTGTGGGCCACGGCCCACTACACACACGTGGGTAAAATGCTTCCCTCTCCCTTTCCCTCCGGTCCACCAACTGAGAAAGGTTGGAGACCTCTGCTCTATAGCAACTGCCTGCAGCATCTTCCACAACACACACACACACAACACACATACACCATCCTCCTTACTTTGGACTTTTGCCTCTTCCCACTTAAGAATTGCACAGTCCTGAGATTTACCACAGCTGTTGGGATTGCTGTCACTGAGGAATGCATTCATGTGGTTTCATTGTTTACAACTGCATCACTTAGCAATGGCAGTCCCAATCCCAAATGCCATTATAACCTGAGGACCATCTATATTTAAAACTTGGTAAGGTCATGTTTTTAAAATCTGCTTATGCATACACAATTGAAATTAAGTTTGAAATAAAAATCTTTTTAAAGATTTTTCCATTGTATTAATTGATGTGTCATATTTCTCCCAAAAGCTTTGATCTAAAGTCTCATGAAGTAGCATAACAGTATAGTGAATTCTGATGTACGTCCCTTTGTTTTCCAAACTAGTCTAGAATTGTTCCATGTTAAGAAATTGATCATTAGTTATACTTTCTTAAAACAAAGCAAACCCAAACTTCATGTTTATAATAGGAACATAGGGGCAAGTCTGGTTTAACAACTTTTTCCTTCATCTGTCAGCAGGAAATTTAATGAAGAAGAGGAAACCTTTACTGCTATTATATACAGTATAGTGCCATGGCTAACATATCTGCTTAAAAAAATGGAAAAATAGCATAGAAAGTGCAAAAAAAAATATGGCCAAATCTCAGTAACTGTAAACTTGTTTTGCATAATTTCTCAGATTCAATTCCTGACATCTCTGGATAAAGAATCTCATGTTAAGATTTACATCTTGAAAAAATGTAAAGATGCAGGCTCTTTTTAGTTGAGCTCAACTCCTTGTGATTTAATGAACAATTTTTCCAATTTTCCTTGGAAACAGTACAAAAATAATTAATGTGGCTTTCTTCAGATATGAATTTCTTCTCTCCAATCTGGTTCTGGTTCCAGATACTCTCTGGTAGAGTCCTGTATAATGCAATAAAAGTATTATCCATTATCAATCTAATGTACCTCCTATGTCCAAACAGAATTCATTTAGTGCTCCCAGCTGCTGAGGCCTGCAGAACACGTACGGTATTCATAGTGGACAGTTCAAGTCTGTTAAATAAATAAATTGAAGTAAAATACTCTTAATGCATGTATGTGTTTGCTGTTTATGAAAAGAATATTTGATTTTCTAAAAGATCTCAGTGACCATAGAAGAATTTTTTATATTCACTTTATAACCAGAAATTTGATTTTAGTCACTTCATTGAAGTATAACTTTTGTACTAATGCCAACAAAACTTCAAAGACAAATAATGGGCTTTTGAAAGAAAGAAACTATAACTGATGGAACTGAGAATTTACATAGGCAGATTGGATTTTCAGGATATGAAATTATTTGAGTAGGTCTCATATGATACCACTGAATACTTCAATGAAATATCAATAAAAATAACAGGATATTTTGACAATAACTCTATTTCATTCCTCATATATATTTAATTATTTTATATCCTCTGCCAATAGATATTCAGCATTTGGGCATCCAGTCTTAGCAGGCTTGAAATATATGTAAGAAAGCAAGAGATTCCAAGGGGTGGTAAATCAAAACAAAGATGAATGATCTTTGTTTTGATTTACCACCCCTTGGGAATCTCTTGCTTTCTTATATATATTTCAAGCCTGCTAATTTTGTGTTTCATATGGATTTAGATACATAAAAGAGGAGATATACTGTATTAAGTCATACAGTATAAGTTAACTTAGCTCCTTAGAGTGTTAAAAACAAAAACCTGAAAATATGGACATAAACTGGGAAAATGATACTTCCTTTATTCTCAGATCTTATATTTTATAAACCTATTACTTTATTACCCACTTCTGTTTCTAACTTAAGGAAACTAAGTGAAGAGATCTCAAATTCTGCATGAAACCCAATAAAATCCATAATCTACTTTGCCTCAACAATCTGTGCAAGGTGGATCAGAATTACATATATTCCAGATGTTCTTTAATCATTGACACACTTTGGAATTTTTGTTTTTATATTTTCCAATCCAATTGAATTTTGGAAATAAATTATTGAAAAAACCCTGTGACTACCTGTCTGTCTGTTACCAGGATAACACTCTAAAAACTGAACATGGTGGGAACAAATTTTCTGTCTGGGGAGAAGCTGTTAAAAAAAAAGTTTGAAGATGGGCTAGATCAGGCTGATTGCTGTGGGGAAAATTTTCAGAAAAATAAATCCTCAATGGTTCCCTAAGGGAGACAAAATTTGTAAATGCTTCAGAGTGTTGTTGACTGTTGCTCTCTAGGGCTTGCTCCATCTTGGAGATGTGATGCAGAGCAAAGACTATGTAGCCTACCCAGTACTGCTATGGATAGGCTAAGCACAACACAAAAAGGTGAAAATGAGGGGAGAACAGGCACATGCAAACAGTTGCAACATGTTACTTTGTGATGCTGAAAAAAATATAGATGCCTCTTATGACCACTGTTGGTAAAGAGGTTAGAAGGAATTCCAAAAGCTTTGTTCTGCTTATTTTTTCTACCTTGTGTTTTTGTTTGTTTCCAATGAAAAAAAATGCCCTATTTGACTTCATCTGCTAAATCATTAGTTCTCAATTTGCAGCATATGTGCCACAGCTACTCAAAATCAGATGTAGTTGAGGTGATTCTAGAAATTTTAGTTAAATCTTTAAACTGTAGTATGAATGGTTAATATAATAGTACTATGTGTCTTACAAAAAAGTCACATTTTTGTTTCGATAATGATTGGGGCCCAGGTTCTTCAATTGAGTAATGGTGAGGTTTAAAACATAAAAGGTTTACAATTACTTTACTGCACTACTGCTTGCAACATAACTCTAATGGAGATTTCCTCCAGCTTGGTTTTTGTCTAGAGAATGAAGAAGAATGATAGCAGCAAAGGGTCCCCTAAATGTTGTTACTGACATAACTTACAAATGTGAAGTTAATAACTGGTTTTGTAAAGGTTTCTAAGTAAAGTTATGTTCAGCAAAATTGTTTTAAAAACTGGACAAACTAGTTGATTATGTTACTTTGCTTAAATGGGTCAAGAAAATTGACATGTCATTTTGCTGGGATACATTTTTGGCAACTAGGGATATGTAGTTATTGAAATCTGATCTGGGATGGTCTGGATTCTGCTGTACCTTCAGCTGCCTGAGTCCAGAAAAAAGTGCAGCTACTTTAAGATGGCATTGATAGGAACACTGAATGTGTCCACATTAAATGTTACATTCTTTTCCTTTGTGGGTCCAAATAGCTACATTTTTCTATTAATAATATAGTCAGAATGAAGGAACACTAAGGCATTTCACAAATAGCACTGTGATAACAAATTTGCTTGGATCAGTTTTTGCAAATTGTAGTTAAATGAATTTAAATACATAGATAGGTTTCTAGAAGAAATTTATTTAGTAAACCTTTAAAATCAATTATAATCAGTGGTGGAATTCAGCCAGTTCGCACCACTCGGCAGAACCGGTAGCTAATTTTTTGTTGCCCAGGCCCAGAATGGACTTCCAGAAGCGGCATCCACACACAGAACTGGTTGTTCACATATTTGAATCCCAACACTGATTATAATGTCATATTATAATCTATATCCCTAAGACTGAGAATCTTAATAACTGCAAAAAAAAAAAAACCTATTCAGCTAGCTGCATTTATAATGTTGTTTTCCTTACCAATTTATTAGGTTTATTTTTAGAAAACCTTTATTTTTAAAGCTATAGAAAAAATAATGGCTAGAAGTATCAATATTTTAAACTCTTATAAATATGCCATTTGAAACATTTTGCAATTGATTTTTCATAGACTGACTGTGAACAATGTATGCATCCATTGTGCCATCCAGATCCTCAAAAAACTGATTGTTCTGGCAGACCATCTAAAAAAGAAAATTCCAGTTTAAAAGACATTCATTCACGCGGGCATCTCTTCGAAGGAACTTCATGTACATTAAGGAAATCAGCCCACGAAAGAAAGAGTGTTGCTATAAATGATATAGATGCTACTTCTAACTGCCAACCATTTTTAGAAGGAATACATCAGAAGATGCATAGGTATAATAATTCATTAAAGATTTTGAATAAATATTAAGTATTTTTACTTTGGGGAAGGCAATTTTATTTTTATGTATCCAATTTAGAGTACTTAAAATGTACAATTCCAGGTTAAAATTTAGTCGCGATTAAACCTTGTCCTCGGTGATTCTAAATGATTTCTAGAGTAATTTTAGTTAATTACAAAAAAAACCCAAAAAGTTTTGTGGCACTTTCAAAATAAGTTTTGTAATTTCAAACCATTTATTTTTCAGCAGATTTAATGATAAAGATAAAGAATATAAATCTTCGCAACTGGGAATTTGCACATACCATTGCTCATCTTCAGATGCAAATACCAAAATTAAGCAAGTGAGGAAGAGCCAGAGGATTGCCAAGAAAACCAGTAAGTATTGTTTTTGATGGTCTCTTTACAGTTAGAAGGCAATTTACTTTTTTTTAATATGTTACTGTGACAAAGTGTATGAATTCATATTACAATGTACAACTTGGTATTAAAATGTTTTGGAGGAAATGATTTAAAAGTGGAATTTTATTAAAACAAAAGAAGATTTATTTTTCCAGAGTGAGAAACAAAAGCAACCAGCATAAATGCTTTCAGATTATAGTATATTTTGATATGCCATCTTCCATCAAATCTGAATGGTAAATTTTCATGATCTGCATTTAATCCTATTTATCCAATTATATACATTATATACACACATCTTTTACATTCTATTAATCATTGCGCTGCCCCTAATATTGCATTTCAATGCTGTAATATACTCTGATATTTAATATGGTTACAGCTCTGGGATAAAAACTATTTTTCAGCCTATTTGTCTTTGTTTTTATTATCCTGTACTATCTGCCAGATGGTAATAGTTCAAAAAGAGAATGTCCGGGATGAGATGAGTCTTTAAGAATATTTTGAGTTTTCCTAAGACAACGGGAACTGTACAGTTCATTGGGAGGGGGGAGGAGATGGCAGCCAATAATCCTCTGGGTGATGGTAATGACTCTCTGGAGCCCTTTTCTATCTGCTACTGTGCAGCAAGCAAACCACACACAAATGCAGTAGTTCAGAATGCTCTCTATGGAGCAACGGAAGAAGGTCACCAGCAGTTTTTCATTCAGTTATTGTTTCCTGAGAAGTCTCAAGAAATATAATCCTTCTGGGCCTTCTTAACTAATGCTATAACATAAGCAGTCCAGGTCAGGTCCTTCTTTATGGTAACACCCAGAAACCTAAAACTTGCCACCTGCTCCACACAGATGTATGATTAGATAAAAAGTTTACTGGAGTTGGAGTGGGATGTATGGTTTTGAGATCACAATTACAGTATGTCCATAGGGGATCACACTCCCAGGGTCTGTGCCAACTTGCCATGGCCAACTTGCTGTAGGACAAGTCACCATGAGACAACTTGTTGCTGCACAAGAGTTACACTAATATTGGTCTGATGCTTGATGGGTGGAAGAAGCCAGGGCTGTGGCTTCTTAGCCCAATTTTGTTTTTTCCAGCGACCCCAAAGGGTCGGAAAGTTGTGCTGGAGGGGCAACGAAGAAGGAGGGAAGCTTCGAGAGTCTGGACCAGAGAGTGGTCAGTCCAGACAGACTGAAGAAACCTTCCAAAAGGACAGAAGAAAGGCTGCCTGGCAAGCACAGAGAGCCCAAGTCATTATCAGCTGGAAAAAAAAGTGAGGATCTGCGGTGCTCCGACAAACAGCTGATTGTCAATAGTGTGCTGAAACTGGGTGAGCCTGATTTTCACTCCTTTTCCTTATGAACTTAGAAATGTTGATCTCCTGATTAGGAAGAAGCTATGAAGTAAAGACCCCAGAAGAACTAGGAAAGAAGAGAGTTAAACGCGGCAAGCAATTACAGGAGGGGAAAGATTTTTAAGGAATATAAAAGAATTCTTAAAAATGGAACTCAGATTGACATAAAGAAAGACTGCCTAAACTACAGGACATGGGAAAAAAAATTAGACTTAATTTTGAGGGTAAATAACCTAAAAGAAAACTTTGTAACAATTTTTTAAAAAACAGATATAGACAATATGTATGAGGACGTTTAGTGGTGAGAGGAGATACTACAGTAATACCAAATAATAAAAGAATTTGAAAAGTGTTTGACCTTGAAACAACATCTGGTTTAAACAAAGTGTCTTTATGTGACCTTGCATGAGAAAGACTTTCTAGAATTATATCTGTTGACTCTGGATATAACCAAAACAGGAATTATTTGAAGACAGTGGGAGTCTTGCATTTGTGATTTGACTGGAGGATTTGGATTTAGTCTAAAGTAGTTGGCTCGATTTTATGGTTGGATTTAAGTCTACGATAGTTGGCTTTTTCTTTTTTTTTCTTTTTGGCTTTTTTTTATCTTGTTCTCTCTCCTTGAGAAATTGGGATTTAGCCTAAAGTAATTGGCTCTCTTTACGGTTTGGATTTTAGCCTAAGATAATTGGCTTGAAAAATGAGTGCATCAAATCTCAACAGACTTATGAAAAAAAAAACTTCCTCTGCACCCTCTGTTTGAACATGTAGCCCAACAAGCCAGGAATCTATTGAAACAATGTTGCAGCATGAGAAAATAAGCACTGCCAAAATGAGATGCAAACCACATTAAAATTAATTCAAGAATCAATACAAAGAAACCATGAAGAGACACAAAGTAATTTTGATAAATTAAATGAACAAATGTTGGATATAAAAACACAATTTGAAGCCCACCAACAAATGATTGTTAAACATGAACAAAGAATTCAGAAAATGGAAAATAAATCAGATGATATTGAAAAAAAAATGGAAGTACTAATACAAGAAAATGAAAAATTAGAACAAGCAAATCAAAACCTAGAAGGAATGGTGGCGGTTCTAGAAATGGAGAAAGCGGAACACTATTTAAGATTTCAGAATATTCCTGAAGACAGAGAAGAAAACATAGCAGTTGTGATTATTGATCTCCTGGCAGAGGCTTTGAAAGCAGACAGAGCAGAGATGCAAATGGAGATAGATGAAATATTTTGAATGAATTTAAGCTATGCAAGGAAATATAAGTTACCCAGAGAAGTTCATGTAAGGTTCATAAAGAAAACAACAAGAGATGAAATACTGAGAAAAGTTAGCGATGAGTCATTACAATATAAGAATAAAGGCATCGTGGTGTTAAAGCAGATCCCCAAGAGAATAAGAGACACCCGAAGACAATATCACTTCTTAACTACAAAGCTAATTGCAAAAGGTATAAATTTCAGATGATTAATGCCAGAAGGGATCTTAATCAACTGGAATAATACAAGATACCGACTGGACTCAGTTTGGAAGGCACAAGACTTTGATGAAAGAAATCAAGCATTCTTAAATAAAGGAGTACAATATCAACAAAAGGGGAGAAAAGATCAGAGACAAACAGAAGAAGCAACTGAGGAAGCAACTATACAAACAGTAGAACAGAAAGAGAAACTTGATCAAGGGAATGAAGGAATTGCCAGAGAACCGAGGAGTACGAGATTGACAAGACCTAAATATAAATAATTGAAATGGAGAAAGTAAACGGAATTTTCTTAGTGAATATAAATGGACTGAATTCCCCATCAAAAAGAAATAATTTTTTTTAGAAACTACAGAAATTAAATTTAGATATAATTTGTTTGCAAGAGACACACACAAAAAGACAACATTATAAGCTTTTGGAATACCCAAAAATTGGGAAACTTTACTGTGCATCAGTGCAGGAGAAAAAAAGAGGTGTAGCTGTATATATTAAAGAGACAATAGACTCTAAAACGATTTATTCAGATGAAGAAAGAAGAATTGTGATGGTAGAAATATTTTTACATCAAAACCAAACATTGTCGGTAGTAATATATGCACCAAATAATAAACAGGAAGAATTCTATCAAAATCTCCATAGAAAAATAGCAGTATCAAAATATTTGCTTAGTAGGAGACTTCAACGCAATAGTGAAGTCTACACTACATTAAACTACAAAAGTAGCAAAACAGGAAAAAGTGGAAGAAAAAGATTACCTAAGACTTTTTTTTAACATGATAGAAGAAATTGGAGTACAAAATGTTTGGAGGGAAATCAATTCAGGAAAATTACAATATACGTTTTATTCAAATAGTCATAAATCCTGGTCCAGAATTGACATGATTTGGATGACATCTGAATTAAGGACAAGTATGTAGGAGATTGAGATAGAACCAGGTACATGGGCAGATCACAACCCCTTAAAAGTGACATGGAGAGGAATACCAAAAAAATTAAGATGGACTTTGAATCAATCTATATTAAAAGAAAAAGAATTTATAGAACTAGCAAAAAAAGAAATGGAGTTTTTCTTCAAAGAAAATAAAAAAGAAGATACAACATTACAAATGTATGAGATACAGCCAAAGCATATTTTAGAGGTATTGCTATAACATACATGGCAAAAAACAAACAAACAAGAGAAAAATTTGAAAAACTAGAATCAGAACTGCAAATAAATCCTCAAAAGAAGATTCTGAAAAGAGAAATGGAAACAATAAAACATAAATTAAATTTGTTGGATTCAAAAAAATTGGCACAGCAAATAAAAAGAGCAAAACAAAACTTTTTTGAAAATGCAAACAAACCAGGAAGATGGTTAGCTTACAAACCTAAAAAACAGAAAGAAAAGAAACTGATAAATAATTTAGTAGATGAAAAAGGTTGCCTACAATTTAAAAACAAAGAAATAAAAAAGATAATTAAAGAATACTATAAGAAACTGTATGATATAGAAGAAATTCCAAGAGAGAGAATGATTCAATATCTGGAAGAAAACAATCTTCCAAAAATTTCAGAAACTTGTAAAACTAAGTTAGAGGAAAAAATAACAATGATGGAAATAACAGAAGGCATAAGAAGACAAAAAAACGAGAAAACACTGGGTCCAGAAGGACTACTGGCGGAGCTATATAAATCTTTACAAGATATATTAAGTGAGCCTTTGAAAGATGTCTGCAATGAACTTTTGCTGGAGGTTAAGCTCCCAAATACATGATGTTGTTAGTTGTGAAGTCATGTCCGACCCATCGCAACCCCGTGGACAACGTTCCTCCAAGCCTTCCTGTCCTCTACCATCTTCTGGAGTCCATTTAAGCTCACACCTACTGCTTCAGTGAGTCCATCCAGCCACCTCATTCTCTGTCATCCCATTCTTCTATTGCCCTCAATCTTTCCCAACATTAGGCTCTTCTCCAGTGAGTCCTTCCTTCTCATTAGGTGGCCAAAGTATTTGAGTTTCAACTTCAGGATCTGGCCTTCTAAAGAGCAGTCAGCGTTGATCTCCTCTAGGACTGACCGGTTTGATTGCCTTGCAGTCCAGGCGACTCACAGGAGTCTTCTCCAGCACTATAGTTCAAAGCACTCGGCAAATATTACCTTAATACCAAAAGAAGATTCAGACTTGACACAGATAAAAAATTACAGACCGATATTGTTGTTAAATGTAGATTATAAAATTTTTACTTCAATAATAGCAGAGAGACTGAAAAGATTCTTAACTGAATTTATACATTCAGATCAAAATGTTTTTTTTACCAAAGAGACAAATTAAAAATAATTTAAGAGTGATAATGGATGTATTTGAATATTATGAATTACATCCAGGGAAACAATTGACACTAATATTTTTAGATGCCCAAAAGGCATTTGATAATGTTTCCTGGCAATTTATGATTCAGCAACTAAAAGTAATGGATTTTGGACAAAACTTTATAAATATGATTAAAGCAATATAGAATAAACAAACAGCGAAAGTGATTGTGAATGGAGATTATACAGAGAACTTTGAGATAAGAAAATGTACAAGGCAAGGATGTCCATTATCTCCATTGCTATTTATTCTGACTTTGGAAGTTTTAAATAGAAATATTAGACAAGATACAGAAATTAAAGGACTAGAAATGAAAGGTGAAACATACAAATTACAAGCATTTGCTGATGATTTGGTATTTATTTTAGAAGAACCTTTGGAGATGATTCCTAAACTACTGGGAAAGATAGAATAGTATGGAGAAATAGCAGGACTAAAAATAAACAGAAAAAAACTAAAGTAATAGTCAAAAATCTTTCAGATAAACAAAAAAATGTCAGAAAATATAGAATTACAAATAGTTAAAAAGGTCAAATATTTGGGAATATACTTAACAGCAAGATGTTCAACGATAAAAGAAGATAACCAAACAAAACTATTGAATCAAATAAGAGTGGATTAAGATCTGGTGGAATATTCAAAAGTTTTTTAAGAGAAAGATAAAGTTTACTCCGCAATTATTTTTGTTGGATATTATTGTAGATTTTGATGTTAAAGAAATCAATTTGATGTTGAATCTTATAACAGCTGCAAGATTATTGGTGGGGCAATATTGGAAGAAAAACTCACTGCCTACTTTGGAAGAATGGATACTTAAGGTGTCTAACTTAGCAGAAATGGCGAAAATCTCCGCCTATTTGAAGGACTATTCATAAGAAAGATACATTATGGTTTGGAGAAGATGGATTGATTATATTCAAAAGAAATATGAAACTGAAAAGTATTACCTTGCTTTTGAGTAGATTTTAGATAATTATTAATAGTTTTAATTATATTATTATTTTTGTTTTAATTTGTTAATATTTGTTTTGAGAAGGAGTTAAAGTGTGTTATGGTTTTGATTGATAGTATAGTTGGTTTATGTTAGTTAGATTATGTTTGTTTATTTGTTACCCTGTAATCAGCTCTGGGAAGTGGGGGAGGGGGGAAGGGGAAAGGGGTGGGAGGGTTTATATTATAATAAATTTTTAAAAACTTTTAATAAAAAAAAGAGTGGATTTTGAAAAATGGAAAAACTTGCAATTGTCAATATCAGGAAGAATTACTATAGTAAAAATGCATATATTACCGAAAATCTTATTTTTATTCCAAACAATACCTATACAACTCGAGAAAAAAATTCTTTGAAGATTTAAATTCATTAATTTTGAAATTCATTTGGCAAACAAAGAAAGCTAGAATTAAGATGAAAATGTTACAAGATGCCAAGGAAAATGAGGTTTTGGTTTACCAGAGTGGGTTTCATATTACCAAGCATCTGTATTAATATGGGCAAAAGAATGGATAATTCTTAGAAACAAAAGGTTGTTATATCTGGAAGTGCATGATTTACAATTGGGGTGGCACGCTTTCTTATGGTACAGGAAAAATAAAATTCATAAATACTTCCAAAATCACTACATAAGAAATGTATTATTAACAACATGGGAAAAATAAAATGTAAAATATATCTGAAAATTTCAGAGTGGTTGTCAACAATAAAAATTTGGACATATGGAGATATTCTAAACTCTGAAGGAAATTTAAAATCTAAACAAGAAATGGAAAATCAGGGTATCAACTTATCATGGTGGGCACATTTACAAATGCAAACTAGATATGATAAAGATGTTAAACTGTATGGTTTTTATAAGGAATAAACTCTGTTTGATAAGATATTGTTAACCTGATGAGAAACTAATTAAGAAAATTTATACTTTTTTATTAACTTTGAAAATGGAAAGTGAACAAGTTAAAGAAACAATGATAAGATGGGCAAATTTTTTTGGATATAATATAGCAGTAGTGGCAAACCTATGGCACGCGTGCCAGAGGCGGCACTCAGAGCCCTCTCTGTGGGCATGTGCACCATGCCCCAGAGATAGCAACCATCCTCTTCAACCAGCTGCCCGCTAACTTGCCAAGGTCCCACGTGGCTGGATGCATCCCAGCACTCATGCGCTTGCTGGCTTCTGTGCGGGGGCTGATAGTGCCAGGCCCCTGCCTCGCCGTGCAACAATGGCATCCCTGCCCTGCCCTGCCTCGCCTTGCCTCACCCTGCAGGACCAGCCTCCTGCCCACCACGCCACCCACCAGAGACCCCCTGGATCTCCCCCAACCTTGCCCAGCCCTCACAGGTGTCCCTCCCTGGGAGCAACATCGATCTGGCCATGCCCATCCATCTGCCATGACCACTGTAGCCATGCCCACCCAGCAGGCCACACCCACCTGGTGGCCACACCCACCAGGCACCGGTTTTAGGTTGAAGTTTGGGCACTCGGTATCTAAAAGGTTTGGTATCACTGTAATATAGAATTTTAAAAATGGCAAAATTTATGGGAAAGAAATTATAAACTGACAATGTCAATTTCCAACAAAGAAAATTTATATAAAATGTTTTATACATGGCACTTGCCACCAGCGAGACTAGCAAAAGTGTTTAAAAACATGTCAGATAGATCAATTGGAAATGCAAACATAAGTCAAGCACTTATTATCATGTTCGGTGGACATGTGCTAAAGCAAAGAGTTATTGGAAAAAGATACATGCCTGGTTAGAAAAGGTGTTGGGAGAACACGTAGATTTTAAACCTGAAAAGACTGGTAAACAAAACATATATTTGACTTTGCATGTTATAACAGCGGCACGAATTATATTTGCATAATATTGGAAAAAATAAAGGAATACCATCAGATGAAGAAATAATTTAAAAAATATTAAAATGCGCAGAGATGGATAGACAGACTCTGAGACTGAAAGAAAAAGAAGAAACGGAATATTATCAAACTTGGGATTTATTTTATCGATAGCTAGAGGAAAGAATAAAGGATTAGGAACTAAATATGTATTAGCGAATGTAAACTCAGCATCTTTGTTGAATAAATACTATTGAATGTATGGAAAAAAAATCTTTTTTTAAAAAAAGAGTTACACTAATATCAAAGAAATGGTGGAATAGAATCAGTAAAGAAAAAATGCAAAAGGAGGGTCAGAATGAAATGTGAATAAAAAAACGTATTTTATTTTAAATAATTAAATTGAATTGTTAAATTGTTCTGCGGTGTAGTGAGTTGGCCATGGTGAATTGGTGGTGGCAAGTTGGCCGTGGTGAGTTGGCCATGACAAGTTGTCCACAGTGAGTTGGTGGTGGCGAATGTCCCATTCCACGTCAGGATTAGCTCTATTTGCAGCTCATTCCTTTGGCGAGTTAAAAACAGCATTAACAAAAGTTTTTTCATCCCAACCACCATATTCCTCTGTTCTCTTTTAAGCTACACTTAGCATATTATCAGATATATGAATAACATGAATTGATGATTTACTTAATATACTTAATATATTCTCTTTTAATCTTATATATTAATACCTACTCCAATTTCTCAGTGTGCAAGTAATCAAGCAAGAAGTCTTTAATTCCTTACAGATAGAAAGTCAGTAACCTTTAGTATTGTCTAACAAAGTTCTTCCATAAGACATTTAGAAAACAAAATATAAAATAATGAAAAATATGGCCAGGGTCCAAATAGAAAACCATTTTGTTTGTTTCTCTTTTAAAACGTATTAAGAAGGCAAGGTGGTTGCACAATAAAAACTTTGTGTGGAAGTACCACAATCTCTACTGAGAGACATGAGTTGTGCTGCTTAACCATGTATGCAAATGTAAAATGTTCATTACATTTTTTGTTACAGCTTACATAAAAAATTAGATGCAGGAGAACTTACATCTTTACACATTTCTAAAACAAAAACACATGTTATGATTCATGCCATTTAATGCCATTTAAAAAATTCATTTGTTCCATTTTTATTTTATTTCCCATGAAAGCAGACCATTTTTAATTGTTACTCCAATGATTCCTCAGGTAATTACATTTCACTGTCTGCAATCAATAGAAGAGATGCTTTTGGTCAGACATTGTTGCATAGAGCTGCTACAGAAGATGACCTAGATGGTGTATGTGCAATGATAAAAGCTGGTGCAAATGTTAATGCGCAGGACTATGCAGATAAGTATAATATCCAACATAAATTCAGTTTTATAAAAATTCAGTATCAATTTTAATTAATTGAAGCAAGAATAATATATTGTATAGGTTCATAAACATCAGATTTCATTTTGTTCAATGAAACTCTATTGTTCAGCTTTACATTGGAATAATACTTTCTGTAGATGTAAACTTTCCTGCACGACATTAAGAGTTGCTATAAGTGAAAACAGAATATAGACAGGCAGACAGGCAGGTAAGCAAGCAGATTGTTCTCCCTGTAATACATTCTGACATATTTTGAAATAAGTGGGAGTATCATTCACAACTTGCTAAAAGCTTACTTTGTTTCAAAATGAATGAACAAGTTGAGTGGCTAAGTAAAACTTGGTCTTCATAACAATACTTAAAGAGTCTAATTTAAACAGACATTTTTGAAATTGATGAGAATATTTAAGTATCTAAATTGTACTGGAATGGAAATTAAATCAGTAGAAAATAATTATGTAATAATGACTTTGATCCACTTGAAAAAATAATGTACTTTCAATTCTATAGGTTGGACTCCATTACATGAGGCTAGTTTGGCTGGATGCTTTGAAATATCAAATGAACTTTTAAAAGCAGGAGCTGATGTTAATTGTAAAGGATATGAGCAAGTAACACCATTACATGAAGCTGTTAAAGAAGGTCACTACAAGGTATAATTTCCATCCTGAAAGTATTCTATAAAATGTATTGTGTGATGCTTTAGCAAGTCACATTGCATGTTTCCCTAACATCCCAAATTTAGGGTTTTCCAGATAAGTTGAGCTTATATTAATTCTCGGTAAACATATATTTCTCTCTGCCACAGGACTCAGCTTCTAATTTGCAGGAACTTAAAAACAAATCATTTTCTAGGCTTCCTTACTACATCAAGTTGGAGTGCAGCACACTGTGATGTCTCTGTGGCTGCTGCATTATGTTTTGGAAATGGACTGTGTTTCGGTTCAAGTAATAGATGTCTTGCTGATCTTTTTTCGGTGAGATTAGAGGTTGTGTTGTAGAGTGAAGAAAGGGAATGTCATGTATCTTCTGTCTGTGATTGCAGTATCCTAACTGAAGAAGAGATCATGTCTTGAACTATCAACTAGTTTGGGTTTCTAAAATATGTTGTTAAGCCATACTAGCCAGATTAGTTATGACTGCCTAATACTGTAAAGAAGCTTCATTTCTTCAGTTTGAATTATTCTTTGCACCATTTATGGGAATAACACGGCAATAATTCAACCACCCTGAAACTTCATGCTGATGCAGAAAGTCTAAGTTCTCTTGTGCAGTGCATGCATCTGCTCCAAGTCTTTTTACAAGTTCTGTTGCAATTAGAGTGACTGTTCAGCAGGGAGCACTCTAACATTTCTAAAGATGTATTCCTGAACATAGACCATCTTATTTGTCTCTTGAGAAACCTATATGCGGGTCAAGAAGCAACAGTGAGAACTGGACACAGAACCGCTGCTGGGTTCAGAATTGGAAAAGGAGTCCAGCAAGGCTGTATACTGTTGCCCTGCTTATTTAACTTATATGCAAAGCACATCATGAGAAAGGCAGGGCTAGATGAAACAAAAATTGGAATTAAGATTGCCGGGAGAAATATCAACAGCCTAAGATATGCAGATGATACCACTCTAATGGCAGAAAGTGAAGAGGAACTAAAGAGCCTCTTGATGCAGGTGAAGAAGGAGAGTGCAAAAGTTGGCTTGAAACTCAACATTAAGAAAACCAAAATCATGGCATCCGGCCCTCTCAATTCCTGGCAAATAGATGGGGAAGAAATGGAGGTAGTGACAGATTTTATTTTTCTGGGCTCCAAGATCACCTCAGATGGGGACTGCAGCCAAGAAATTAAAAGACACTTGCTCCTGGGGAGGAAAGCTATGGCAAATCTAGACAGCATACTAAAAAGCAGAGACATCACCCTGCCAACAAAAGTGCGTATAGTCCAGGCCATGGTTTTCCCAGTTGCAATGTATGGCTGTGAAAGTTGGACCATAAGAAAGGCTGAGCGCCAAAGAATTGAGGCCTTTGAACTATGGTGCTGGAGAAGACTCCTGCGAGTCCCTTGGACTGCAAGGCGTTCAAACCGGTCAGTCCTAGAAGAGATCAACCCCGACTGCTCTTTAGAAGGCCAGATCCTGAAGTTGAAACTCAAGTACTTTGGCCACCTAATGAGAAGGAAGGATTCACTGGAGAAGTGCCTAATGCTGGGAAAGATTGAGGGCAATAGAAGAAGGGGACGACAGAGAATGAGATGGCTGGATGGAGTCACTGAAGCAGTAGGTGTGAACTTAAATGGACTCCAGAAGATGGTAGAGGACAGGAAGACCTGGAGGAACGTTGTCCATGGGGTCGCGATGGGTCGGACACGACTTCGCAATTAACAAGAACAACAACATTCCTGAACATGGCTTTTTTTGCCTCCAAATACTTAGCAAATTTTGCTTTAATCTACCAGTTACTTGACAATTAAAATATGTATGTAGATGCATATTCCTTAAATGTGAACATTCTGAACAGTTTTCTCATTAATCATCTGACTTGTTGATTTATAAAGTTATTTTGTTCTAAAAATAATTGATTCTTCTCACTAGTCACTACTGGTGGCTATTAGTCACTACTAATTGGCTACTAGTCACTAGTTAATTCCTAAAGTAATTCATTGTTCTCATCTTGCCTGGTCCCTACATACTTGTACTTGACTTTTTACATACAGTATTAGTGATACAACTCAACCTTTGGTTTTTAATTTTTTGCAAAAGTATTGGAAGGCAATCAAAAGGCAGTACTGATCGCTTCTCTATTATAATAGCAAGTGTTTTTTATTTGATGTGTCCTTGAATATATATTCAATCCTGAATATATTTCAGGATTGAATTCTAAACATACCTACTACTTCACTTAATACGATATTTTCTAGGCAGACTTGGATAGATTTGTTACTTTTCTTTTGGACAGCTCTTTTTAAATATAATGACAATGGTTAAGATGCCATATGGATATTTACCAAGCCATAAAGCTATAAAATAAAACACAAATTATATCTGCTAATTTGTCAGGTTCTGTCTGCAAATTCAAAATTAAGTTAACTTTGTTTTCATGGGCTTCTTGGTAGATATTTTTTTCCTATTTTGAGTATTATTCAGTGTTGTCACCTGCAGCTGCTTCTGTCATCTTTTGTACATAAAACTGGAGGATTGGAAAAGGTGTTAACTGAATATAACTCAGTTCTTCATTAACGAAGCTTACCACACTGTCACTATTTTTCACTAAAATGGAACCAATTTATGCCTATGTTAAGCTTTAAATGCAAAAATAATAGAGGCTCAGGCTTATCTAATTTAGTAATGAATATTTCAAATTTATGGTTTCTTTTATAACAATTTTTAGACTTTTATTTGTCAACATTTCTGTAAGTTAGTGGAGTAATTGTTTGTTTATCCATTTGTCAAATTTATATGGCCATCACATAGTTAACTATTGATTTTAAAATGCTAATTAGAAGACAGCACTTACTCAGTTTTAGGACAGTGATGGTGAAGCTATCTGTCAAGATGTCATACCATAACATTTTGGGTAAACACCAGACAACAACTATTTTTAAAAGCACACCCTGTTCTTGGTATGATTTTTGGAGATTCCAGAGGCCATGTGAGAACGGGGCCTCCAGAGGCCTTTCACACAGCCTCGAGACCCGCCCAGAAGTCAGGTGAGAGGGACGTGCTCTTGCATGACTGCCTGAGCCTCCAAAAAAATGTGCAAAAATGGTGTGCTTCCGCACAGTTTTCAGAGGCTGTAGAGGCCATAAAAAAAGCATTCTCCAAAGTTGCTTCAAGAATGAAGGCCTCGTGACTTCCGGTGGTTAAAGCGGTGGAGATGGCGGCTACTTTGTAGCCGTCCTCCTGAGAAGGTGTCAGATCCGCGGAGCACAGCGTTTACCAGCTGGCCCGCGGCTCGCAATCCCCTTCCCGGGCGAAGGGAAGGGGCAGAGATCGCATGAATAGAGGTAGAACCTCTTAACTCTCCCTGGATTTTTATTTTTAGGGGGGTAGAAAGAGGGTTCCCTCGGAGTTCATTGCCTTCTCCGCCTCTCAGCTGTCTTTGTTTCTTCGGAAACAAAGCGAGACGCCGCTACCATCTCCGTACTTAAAGAAACCGTGAGTAATCTTAAACCGGACAGAACTGTTTAAAGGATTTTATTTATAGTTTAGCTTCATTTTATTTTTTTTTAGTTTATTTAGTTTATTTAGTATATGCTGATTTTTTTTTATTTTTTTAAGCTTTCTCTTTTTTTTCGGGCGGAAAAGTGAGAGTGAAAGTAAAATGGCGTTTTGAAAGTTTTTTTTCCTTTAAAAGACGGATCGGCTGAATTGTTGTTTAATACTGCTTTTTTTTTACTTTTTTTACTTTTTTATTCTTGGGGACTTTTAGATTGATCTTATTTTATTCTATTTTATCTTATTTTTAATTTTTTTTTTTGGATTACTTATTTTTATCGGTATTTTTAAGAAGAAAGGAAGATAAATTAAAATGGCTTCAAAACGACAACCAGCTACTGCAGCTTCTAAAGTAACTTCTTCTCCTGCTACTTCTACTGTGCAACAACAACTTAAAATAATACCCTCAGTGCAGCAACCTAAATCCACTCCACCTTCACCTCCCCCATCTGGCACATCAGCACAAGACATTAAAGAAATAATGGTAAGTGCTGTCTCACAGTTTAGGGAGGAAATGAAACAACTTTTGGACCAGAATAAATCTGAAACTAAGGAGGAAATGAAGAAAGAGATGAAGGAGCTTTTAGAACAGAATAATGCTATTTTGAGGGATGATATACTTCTAGCTCTATCTGGAATGGCCTCAGTGGTTGTGAAGCTGGACTCCAGAGTAGAGGAAATTGAAGAAACAGTTGAACTTTTGGATTATAAATTTCAAGATATGGAGAAAAAAGTGGAGACTTCACAAGATGATATTCTTATGTTCCAGTATAGACAGATGGAATATGCTTTGAGAATAAGGGGTCTGAAAGAAGATAAAACTCAAGATTTGATGGAAATGGTGATTAATGACTTGGCTGTTATTTTGAATATTGATAAAGAAGAGTTACGTGGGGATGTGGAAAGAATTTATAGAGTTAATTCTTGGATTGCAAAACAGAGGAATTTGCCTAGAGATGTGGTGATATATTTTGCTAAGAAGTCTTTGCGAAATCAGATTCTACAAACTTTTTATAATAAAAGATTTCAGATTGCTGCCCAAGATATTATTATTTTAAAGGAAATTCCACCTAAAATTTTAAGAAGCAGAAAAGATTTTGCTTTTTTAGTAAATGAACTTAAAGCAAGACAAATGCCATTTAGATGGGAGATTCCGATGGGCATTGTTTTGAGCCATGCGGGGACACGTTATAGACTTAATACAGTTGCTAAAGCTAAGGAATTTTATAAAACGGTCCTGGGAGCAGGCTCTCCTTTGCCCATGATGCATAAAGTCTTGAGTGACAAAGAGATGGAACAGAAATCTGAAGGTACAGGGATGATGACTGCTGGACAGGTGGTATGGATGTCTCAACCAGAGGTTAAAGAACAGAGAATGACCCGTGCAGCACATAAACGTAAAGAAAAAGAACAACAGAAAAAAGAAAAAGAAAAAGAAATTGAAGAATCTACTCAGCAAATTGCTTCAGTGCCGGTGGGAGGAGCAAGACCCAAAAGCTCTGCTACATATTCATCAGCAGCAGAATTTGAGCGGATCTTCTCCAGGCTGAAGGCCAAGGGAGATGGCAAAGCTCCTGTCCTGGAATGTTAATGGATTAAACATTCCTCAAAAGAGAAAAAAAATTTACCACTATTTGAAACAACATAACAATGATATTATTTGCTTGCAAGAAACTCATATTACAGCTAAAGATCAAAAATATTTAAATAATCCTCGCTTGGGATCTCATTTTGTATCTCCCGCCCCTGGGAAGAAAGGGGGTGTGGTAATCTATGTTAAACAGAATTTATCCGCTACCTTGTTAGAATCAGATCCTTACGGAAGATATGTTATGCTTGAACTTGGTTTATATGGCAAGAAAATTCTTATTGTGGGGTTGTATGCACCAAACCAGCAACAGGAGCAATTTTATAGGTTACTACATCAGAAAATAACTTTGTTGGACTATAGATCTGTGATTTTAATGGGAGACTGGAATGGTGTCTTAGATATACAAATGGACAAAAAAGGCTCTTCTACCTTTTTTAAACAGGCTAAATTACCTAAAGCCTTTTTTGATATGAAAGAAGATTGGGAATTGAGAGACTATTGGCGTGAACGTAATCAAGAAGAAAAGGATTTTACGTTTTTCTCAGATAGACACCAATCTTTCTCAAGAATTGATTTCTTTTTGATCACAACAGATTTATACAACAGGGTGAAGAATGTAAAAATTTTTCCTAGGACATTGTCCGATCATAGTCCAGTTTGGATGGAACTGTTTGTAGAGAAGGAAGATAGGAGATCCTGGAGGGTGAATGAGAATTTATTTAAACAAGAAAAAAATGTTCATAAATTAAAGGAATGTTTAAAGGAATATTTTACTTTAAATATGAACAAGGGAACATCAATGTCAATGGTCTGGGATGCAAGTAAAGCTTTTATGCGTGGTATTTTGATAAAAATGAATAATTTGCATAGACAGAAACAGACTCAGAAACAGAAAGACTTGGAAGAGGAGATTAAATTAAAAGAGAAACTTTTAATTTCAAATCCCTTAGATGAAAAGGTTAAAGGAGCTTTAAAATTGCTAAAAACACAATTTAACATGCTGATGGCTGATCAAGCTGCAACTAATTTGCTATTTATGAAACAAAATACATTTTGTAATGCTAATAAACCAGGGAGATGGTTGGCTTATCAGTTAAGAAAAAAACAGAAACAGAGGAATATAGATAAAATAAATTATAATGGTAAATTGGTTTATCAGAAAGAATTGATTAAGAAATCTTTTTTAGAATACTATCAAAAATTATATAAGGGTACTAATATTCAAATTACAGATATAAATAATTATTTAGGCAAAGTTAACTTTCCTAAATTAACAGAAGATCAGGAAAAAAAGATTAACGGTTTAATTACTAAGGAAGAAATTGTTACAGCTATTAAACAATTGAAATTGGGCAAAGCGCCGGGTACGGATGGGTTGACATCTATTTATTATAAAGCTTTAGTAGAAGAGATGATTCAACCGTTGTGTGAACTGTTTAATAATTTATTACAGGGGTTAGAGATCCCTCCATCCTGGCGTAATGCATTTATATCATTGATTCCAAAAGATAGTCAAGATCTTACTTTGCCTAAAAATTATAGGCCTATATCTCTTTTAAATGTGGATTATAAAATTTTTGCAAAAATTTTAGCTAACAGGCTTATGGGGATCTTGCAGCAGTTTATACATAGGGATCAATCGGGTTTTATAACTGGAAGGTATATGAAGAATAACGTTAGACAAATTATTAATTTATTAGAGTATTTAGAAAAGAATAACCAAGTCTCTGCAGGCCTGATATTTTTGGATGCTGAAAAAGCCTTTGATCAAGTGAATTGGCAGTTTATGTTGTGTTTAATCAAGGAGATGAATTTTGGACAAAATATATTACAAGTATTATCCAATATATATCAAAAACAGACTGCTCAAATTATTGTAAATGGGGGTTTGTCAGAGGCTTTTGTAATAGAAAAAGGAACAAGACAGGGATGCCCGTTGTCTCCGTTATTGTTTGTTTTAACACTGGAAATTTTGTTGATTAAAATTCGGGAGTCTCAAGAAATAAAAGGAATAGAAATTAATAAAAAAGAATATAAATTAAGAGCCTTTGCAGATGACTTGGTTGTTACTTTGTCTCAACCTGTTTCTTCGGTGGTGAAATTATTACAATTGATTCAACAATATGGACGTGTTTCTGGCTTTAAAATTAATAATAATAAGACCAAAATATTAGCTAAAAACATGACTAATGGTGATAAACAGGCTTTAGTTAACTTAACAGACTTTGAAATTGTTGATAAGGTAAAATATTTGGGGGTTACATTATCTGCTTCTAATGTAAAATTGTATAAAAATAATTATGAAAAGCTGTGGATGGAGGTACAGAAGGATTTAAAAAACTGGAATAATTTACAGTTATCCCTTATGGGCAGAATTGCAGTTATTAAAATGAATGTCCTGCCAAAGTTTATTTTTTTGTTTCAAATGTTACCTATCTTAAAGAACGAACGTAATTTAGATGAATGGCAAAAAGGTATTAATAAATTTGTTTGGGCAGGGAAAAAACCAAGGGTGAAACTTAAAATAATGCAAGATTTTCGTGAGAGAGGTGGACTCAAGGTACCAAATATGAAATTGTATTATGATGCTGTAGTATTGACATTGATTAGCGACTGGGTGAATTTAACAAATACAGAAATACTTCATTTGGAAGGCTGGGACCTATTTTTTGGATGGCATGCCTATTTAATATTTAATAAAAAAGTGGATTGGGTTTTTAAGTCTCATATTATAAGAAACTCTTTGCTAAGAGTGTGGAGAAAGTATTATAAAAGTGACTTCAAAATACCATTATGGGCTATACCTCGGCATGCCATAGAAGGTATAAGGAAAGGGGTAAATATGGACAAGGTCTCTTACGTACAGTTATTAAGATGGGATGGCCAAGACTGGCAGTTAAAATCTTTGGAAGAATTAACACATGAAAACTTAACTTATTCATGGTTCCAATATAGACAAATAGTGGATAGATGGAAGATGGATTGTAAAATGGGCTGGCTTAGAGAAGATGAAATTTTTTTAAAACAAGTAAGAGATCAAAGGCCAACCCATATTAAGAGAGTTTATGGGGTTTTAGTGGAATTAGATTCAGAACTTGAACTAGTTAAAGATTGTATGATTAAATGGGCACAGAATATTGGTGAAACGATTTCAATGGATACTTGGGAACTTATTTGGATAAGAAATGTTAAATTCACACAAGCGCAAAATTTAAGAGAGAATTTTTATAAGATGTTTTATAGATGGCACCTTGACCCAAAGAAAATGTCCATTATGTACCCTAATCTACAGCCGAAATGCTGGAGATGTGGATATTTGGATGCTACCTATTACCATATTTGGTGGACGTGTAAGCATATAAAAGCTTTTTGGATTAAGATATGGTGGAATATTCAAAGAATTTTTAAAAGGAGGGTAAAATTTACTCCGCAATTATTTTTACTAGGTATTGTTATTGACTGTGATGCTAAGGAGGTTATATTGATGTTAAATTTGATTACAGCCGCTAGGTTGTTAATAGGACAATATTGGAAGAAGGAATCTTTGCCTACTTTACAAGAATGGTTTCATAAAGTTTCGTATTTGGCAGAAATGGCAAAGATTTCGGCTTTCTTAAAGGAGCAATCTCAAGAAAATTTTTTTGCGGTATGGGAAAAATGGATAAATTTTATACAACATAATTTGGATATGGAAAAATATTATCTAGCCTTTTTATAATTTGTAATGATTGTTTTTTCTTTCTTTCTTTCTTCTTTTTCTTTTTTATATATATACATTTTTTATGTATTATTATTCATATATTTTTTTTTTATATATATATATATGCTTTATTCTTCGTCTACTTTCTTCTTTCTTCTTTCTCTCTCTCTTTTCTCTTTTTATTTTTTTTTTCTTTTTTAGTATATATTATTCATTTTAAAGTTTATGTTATCTATATTATTATTATATATATTATTATTGTGATTTTTATTATTATTATTAATTATTTTATAAATTGCAAATATTATTTTTAAAATATTTGTTAAATAATCCTATATTCAGTTCTGGGAAGTCGGGGGGGGGTGGGGTGGTTGGGGAGGGGGGGGTGGATTTTTATTTGTAAAACTTTTGAAAAATTTCAATAAAAAAAAAAAAAAAAAAAAAAAAGAATGAAGGCCTCGTGCGATCTGCAGCAATCTTGGTAGGCCACAAAGGTCTGTTAACAGAAAGGTAAAAAGGTAATTGGCATGCAGAAGTTCCCAAGGAGTACTGGGCTGCAGGAGAAATCCAACTTTCCTTGGGGAATGGTGCAAGGCGGTAATGGTGTTAAAGCTGCCTAGACTTCAGGCCCAGCTGGCACAGTGCTGAGTCCCATTGTTCAGGGTGGTCTAGATGGGCAAGGGAGATAATTTTTATTTATTTATTTTTCACATTTTTTAACCACTCATCTCCCTCAAAAAGAACTGTTTCTCTTTTGTTCAGAGGGAGGTTGTGTGACACACCAGGAGAGTCAAGTTAGGCATTTTCCGAATTGTTGACATGGTGAGCCCAAAAGGTTTGTCATCACTGTCTTAGGAGTCTAGCCAGAAACCTTCTCTTTCCTTTTAAATTTATAATAATAATGTTGAATTCTGAGGCTAGCAATGGTATGTATTACACCATAGAAAAGTTTCAAACAATGAACAAAACAATGAAATATCAGCTCAGCTCCAGGCTCTTATTCCAGACTAGCTCGTCAATATGCACTGTAACAATTTATGCAGAATCATCCTTGCTTACTTTACAAGTAAGAAATTACAATGCACAAAAAAGCTTTTGCCTTTCTCTGCTCAGTTGTCATAAAGTTTTAAACTGAGTCTTAAGAGTGACAATCTGTATCATGAAAAATGAAAAGAAAAAGTATTGAAAACACCGTAAGATTTATATTTACTTCTAGGTAGTGGAATTATTGCTTTGGCATGAAGCTGACCCACTGTTCAAGAATGAAAGAGGAAAGAATGCCTTAGAAGAAGCTACTGACAAGCGTATGAGGAAACTAGTGGAAAGTTATATAGCTCATTCTGGTAAAAGATCAGCATCAGGTAGGAAAGAGCTATGACATTAACTCTTTTAATATTGAATTGCAAAAGAAAGGTTTGAAAAATAAATGAAAATATGGATTTTGTTCTAAAGTGATTTCCAAATGGAAAAAAAATTAGGTATGTTCTTTTCTTTGAGTAAAGCAATCAATTTAACCATTTCTACTTTTTTATATGGGAAATAATATATATTAATGCTTATACTTATTAATCTTTATATACTGTCATCATTTATATTAACAACATTTACTACACTCTCTCAGGTTCTTTAACTTTAAAGGGGAAACATTTTTAACATCCATTTTAAAACTCTAGACTTTTATTTAAAAATATTTCTAAAATATTTGAACACAATTCAATAATATTTTACAAACTTTAAGAATTATTCAAGGATAAGACTACATTAGAGCTTTCTTTCAATTGCATACTGTATATCAGACTTGTAAAAATCCATCCTAATTCCAATTAACTCATTAAATTTAAGTCACACCCTTTAGCTTATCCTCAAGGAATAAAATCTTTTCTGTAATGCCTATCAAATCTATTTTTTAGTATCCATGAAGAAAATGTCCCAAACATATCCTCTTGCGAGTTGTAGATTTGCTTGGAGCTCTTGTTTCAGTTGCGCTGAGAGGGTTGTATTTAAACAGTCATCATAATAAAGATTGGTGTCAGATTTGTATTCCAAAGATGCAGTTAAATTCTTTACATCAGAGCTTCCCAACCTTTCTGGGTTGTTGGCCTGGAGGAAAAGGAAGAAGCAGGGAAATGTGTGTTTGTGTGTGCACGCATGCGCAAGCACATGCGCAAACAGGTGCATGCACAGCAGCAGCGCTAACGCCCGCACACTTGTGCAAGTGGGCCACACACACCCGTGTGACATTGGCAGCGGTGCTAGCACCCAGCCATTCCCATGGCCCAGTGGTCAACAGGCCGCGGCCCACAGGTTGGAGATCCCTGCTTTACATTATAGATATTTGTGAAATTGCCTCAGTGATTTGATAACTTTCTACACATGATTGCAGATCTTGCTCTTCTTTTATATCATCTGTATCATATCTTCCTTTATAACAGTGGTCCTAACCCCCAGACTGTGGCCCACTACTGGACCCTGCCCGTTCTGAACCAGACTGCGCAAGCAGTGGGCAATGGCCCACCCGTAGCTTCACTTGCTCAAATGAAGTTGCACTCAATCAGAACCATCCCCCCCGCCCCGCTGGTCCGCCAAGCTGGAAAGGTTGGGGACCGTTGCTTTATAATATCTTTAGAATATGATTGGTCTATAAAGTAAATGGTTTTCTGTAAATATTTTTCAACTACCTCTCTAAAAATATGCTCAATATCATAATTCACTGTCTTTTTAGCTCCCTCTTTTAGTCAGAGTAGATTTTTTATAAAGCAATTAATACAGAGTACTTAAAAATAATAAAACCACACCTTTTATATTCTTAAATTTCTCCATCAAAATAAAAAAAAAGATATTCCATGCTTCTTATTTTAGCTTGCCTCCAGCAACCCTCTTTCTTATCATTTAACAATAAGGAAGTCTCAAAAATTGCACAAGTCTTCAAAAAGGAGTAACAGTGCGACTAGAAAAAAATGCTTTTAGCTAGTAAAGATAATAATCCCATAAAATGATTAAGAAATGAAAGACACAACTCATTGTCAGTTTGAAAAATAAATTCCAAAACGGCTGCTTTTTCAACAGCCCTCTAGCTGAATGGCTCACCAGCTGCTCCAATGCACAGCTCCCAAGGGTTCCTGCAGATTTTTTCTTTTTTCTTTATATTTTTCTCTCCCCTCTTTTTCTCTCTGTAATTTTTCTTTTTATATTTTTCTTTGTATTAGTTTTTTATCTTTTATTTTTAAACTTCAAGAAAATATTTTTTAAAAAAAAACTTACAACAGGTCTTCACATGTAATAACTGTTATAGCGTCCTTACTGTCAAGTATCAAAATTCAGGCACTTGCCAGCAAGCGTGTATTTATGACTGTTATAGCATCCTGTGGTCACATTCTCTCACTCTGCACAAATTTTCTACTTCAATTCCCCCCACCCCCATCTTTCTCCCTCTCATCTCCCCACTTTTGGCCCCTATACACAGTATGGCTGAGATGAAGAGGCTGCTGTATTCTGCCACTGCCCTTGTCAGCTAACCTCTCCTCTATAGGGTCTCTGATATCAACCAGCTTCAAGCTGCATATTGGGGGGCTCTGTTGGCTCTCCTAGGCAGGTCAACCCTGCCTCTCATTCTGGCGGCCTTGCTTCACTAGAAGCACTCAGCTGAGTAAAGCATGAGCAGCACCATCTCCTAGTGCAGGAATGGCCCCTTATCACTGTTCAATGGACATACAGTGGCAGGAGTGACTAATGAGTAGGGAGGAGATGGACTGTTCGGCTGCTACTCCTAGTGCGATCTGATATCCTCCTGGAGAAACGCTGGCTTGGCCATGGGATCGTGCGTTAACCAGCCCTGTTTCATGTGCTTGCCAGCATAGTTAATACTATGGCTGCCCCATTATTTCCATTGTCAATGGAAATAATATTGAAGAAACAGTGGCAGATAATATTTATTGCACTGAGTTATCCCACGTAGAATGCTGCGGTGAGATGGCTGTGGTGAGATGGCCATGGCATGATGGCTGCAGCGAGTTGTCCTAGACTTTGGCCAGAGTCCTTTATAATATTACATCTTGTTCACCAACTGAGCTATTGCCAGTCAGGCAATATTGTGCATATTTTCTCTTGCCCTTGTTCCTATGACGTTCACACCAAATAGGGTTGTCCTTACACATTTCCCACATTTAGTACACAAAACAAAACCAGCTTCGTTGAAAATATCGTTGATCATACCTTGATACAATTATAACAAATTGGCAATCCAATATAATTCCACCTCCAAGAATAGCGATATTTTTAAGACGTTAAATATAACAATATTAAAAGAAAGATGTGTTTCTGGCAGTGAAAGACCATTTTTTTCCTTTGGGTGACAAAACAAGGAATGACTAAAGGGATGAAAAAAAATCCCATGCAAATATCTTTTCTTTTTCTAAAGCAATAGTTTGAAGTATTTTTCATATACTTCAGACTTAATTTATAAAATGACCAAAGAGCATAGCATACTTATATAATTGGAAATATAGAAAGATACTTTATTATCAGTAATAATGATGATTATTATTACTATTTAGTTAATAATTGGCCACTTAACTCAAATGGACTTTGCCTCATCAGAAAAGAAAGTTCATCAAACCTTTTACAGGGGTGTTAAACTGCCGGCTGCGGGCTGGACGCGTCATCCAGAAGCTGCGCCCACCCCATTGCCGGCAATGGCAAAACCATCCAGATACGTTGCGCAACGTCACGTGATGTCGCGAGTTAGACATGTCTGAGCTAAAAGATACAAATTAATATATTGATTCACATATGTCATTAAACTTTATCTTTTGTAACTGATTAATAAATTAGTCTAATTTGTACATTTTGTGCAAATATTTTTGTTAAAGCAGAGAGGAACCGTGTGATACCATAATGGCTTTCTTTGCCTTAAAGCTGCTATTATAAATGACAACATTCAGACAGGTTAAAAAGTTGTCTTGTTTGGAGAGGTGGAGAAGTAAAAAGGCTACCAACAAAAAAATAGATTACCAGAAAAATATATGCATTCTTTAGCTTGTATAGATATGACGGTATACTGCTATAAAGACATAGACAATGAACAGGCTCTGAAAGAATGTTTACAACTGGATTTTTTTTATTTAAAATAAAACTTACTACAGTCAAAAAGCACAACCATTCCATTGGTACAAGGAACTGCACATGTGGGAAATTCAGAATAGATAATTCTTTTAGAATGTTATACTTTAAATGCAGCCCAAAACCCAGATAAAAATACCTCAAAAGCTGTTGGAATTTGTTATGAACAAACAGCTCAAATTAGCATGGAAATATCTTCAACTAGTACATTTTCTCAGGATATTAATAGAGGTGAAATTTCTGAAAGCCCTGACATTCACAGTTCCAATGAAAAGTCATGATAAGACTTTACACTCTTGTTATGCATGAGGATATAATGATAAGTCCAAGAGGAGAAGAAAATGAAAAAATGTTTTTTGAGGGTACAGAAAATGATAGTAAGATGTAGAATAATATTCTTCTGATTTTACATATGCTAGACAAGAACAATTTCAAGGTAACCCTTTTGTCTATACATAAATATACACATGCACAAAGTGGCTTTGTTTATTTACTGTCTTGTTACTTGTTCATTTCTGTTCTTTTGGTATTTGCTGTAAACCATCTATGGAATTTTTTTAGTTAAGAGCAGCATGATTATATTTGGAACACAAGTAGTCCATACTTTGGGGAAGGGTGATTGTAACTTGGAGTGATCATTAAACAACCAGTTGTAAGTCAAGGACTACCTGTAAATACATAAATTAAAATAGATACCTTATATTACAGCGAAATAGGCTTCTTCAGAAAAGGACATTCCACCAGTTGCCTAGTCAAAAGGTTAAGAATGCAGAAGAAAAGGAAGTAAATTCAATTTCTATTTTTTCCCATTCTTGTCTCTGAATAACTGCTAGTTATAGTTATTTCTTATTTAAAATGTGTTCTATTTGTGGGTTCTTACTGACGGATTAGGGAGGAAAAAAACCTGTACACCTGGCAACTTCCATATTCACAGTTCCTTATTTAGTTACTTCCACTTATGCTTGATTTTCAAACATGGCCTTGAATAGTCATATACATAGAATTAGTTATCATCGTGCTAAGTGAAATTTACAGCTAGTTCATTGATTTTTTTTTTCACAAGATCTTTAATCTTTTTCACAAGATCAGTAAAATTCATGAGTTTATATATATATTTTTTCAAGTCATTTTTCCGGCAACTTTTTGAACAAGTTCCTGCAGTTCTCTTGGTAAGATTTCAGAAGTGGTTTGCTCTTGCCGCCTTTCTGGAACAGAAATGACTGGCTCAAGGTCACTCAGTTAGCTGATTTCTAGCCTGATGCTAACCATTACACAAAACTGGCTCATTACATATTTACTAGGTTTTTTTTCTGTTTCCCCTGTGAAATGGTAAGAGGAATACTTTAGGGAAAATTCCAATAAATTAAGTATTAAATCCATAAATTTATTATTATCCCAGAATTTGTTTTCATTAAATTCCAACAGTGCACTGAATATTTCAAAACTAAGTTTTTGCTTTTCAGGGAATGTAACAGAAAATTTAATTACTTTTTAGAGAAGTGTTTTCTAATGTTTAATCTCAGAATTTGTAAATATTTTAGAAATATATTAATTATATTCATTATAATATACCATATAGCAGTTCTATAGATATTATTTGTTTCTTTTGAAAAAAGCATAATAATTCACTTTTTAATTTAATAAATATTGAAAACAAAAAATCTGAAAATATATTGCAATATGGCAAAAAAAAGAAAGAAAATTCAAATTATACATCAGATGTATCTTTCCAATCAGCTGAATTAAAAACTGTCCAGACCAAGTACAATGGAAATTATCAAAATGCTGATTTGGGTTCCAGCAGTAATGTGAAGAATGTTTCTTCAAGTTATACACAGTTGAGTCAAATTGAAGAACAACAAATACCACAAATCTTAGGTAAGCAGTTAATAAATACATGAGAGTGACAAACTGACGTTCGAACTAAATAAAATATGGCTATTATTAATTTAGCTTGATTAATTTAACTAGCTTGAATTTCCAGTTATTAATGATCCTCAGTTCACAAAAATAGTCAGTTTTTCTGGAGGACATTGTATTTTTTCAGAGGCCTAAATTCATAGTTTGAGGATTATCCATGAAACAGTCATTTATAATAAAGATTCAGATGATTTCTGTGACATGGAGCACCTTTTACCAACTTAGGGCTGGGCTCCAGCTGTTGTTTTTGGAGACTTGACTGCAATAATCTATGTTCATTTACTTACCATCTGGATTACTGTAATGCAGTGTAAATCAGGCTGCCACTAAAACATTTTGGAAACTAAAGGTGATGCAAAATAATGCAACAAAAATTGTGAAGAGCTGATTTAATCATATACTGTACATCACTCCTGCTCTGCTTGGACTGGTTCCCAGTTCATTTCTGAGCTCAATTGAAAGTGCTAGTTTTGACTTACAAAAGTCTTCATGGTTTATCACTTTGATGGAACAACAGTTTTTTGCTCATCCAGACCTGTGATCATTTTAGAGTCATCTCCATGATACATCCTTATCTTACTGTAAAAGGTGAAAGACAGTTACTAGAGAAAGCTTTTTAAATGTGACACCTTTTCAGTGTAATTTTACCCACCATTTTGTTAATTGAAAGACTTTTCTATTCTGTTCACACATTTTAATTTGTTAGTAAAGTGTGCAAATTAAAGCATACCAGATTGATGGCTGCGTGGTTTCCTGTTGAACAAATCCAATAAAGGGGACTCCATCACTATTCTGAATCACTGTTCAACTCTCAAGTGTTTTACTGATCAGACTTTTTTTCTAATATTCACTGGAAAATGCTTTCCTGAAACTGAAATCTATTTGTTTGTGTTGTGGAGTCTGGAATGAGAGAAAAGAGATCTTGATCTCCTATGTGCTGTTATTTCAGCATTTGAAGAATATTATCACACATTCCTCAGTCAGTTTTTCTTTTTTCAGAGAATGTATAATTAATTGAAAAATATTGTGATAAATTGGTAGAAAGCAGCATCTTTAGAGTTCAAAGGAAATATGAGGGCAATTCAGAAATAAACCTCTGTTTGGTTATCAACAACAAACACTCGGAGATACAGAACTTCTATTATACACATTAGAAAATTACAACATTGCATTACTTTTTGACATAATTGCCATTCAAATTGAGGCACTTGTCATAATGTCTTACAACACCACACCAGAAGTGGTGCTATAGAAAATCCAGCCAATTGTGAAGATGCCAAAGGAGTACTGCTAGTGAAGTTCATGGAGCGTGGTTCAGCCATCAATTCAGAAGTCTACTGTGAAACATTACGAAAACTCAGACAAGCCATCCATAACAAGCATCGGGGCATGCTGACTTCCGGTGTGGTGTTGGTTCACGTTAATGTTCGCCCGCACACCGTTATACACGCCCAAGAAGCAGTTCCATTGGGATGTTTTTAATCACCCCCCATTATAGCCCAGATTTGGCGCTAAGTGACTACTACTAAGGAATTTCAAACCTTGTAAGACATTATGACAAGTGCCTCAATTTGAATGGAGATTATGTCTAAAAGTAATGCAATGTTGTAGTTTTCTAATGTGTATAATAGAACTTATATATTTGTGAGTGTCTGTCATTGATAACCAAATGGCAGTTTATTTCCGAATTGCCCTCGTAGCAGGCCTTCATTGGTTTGTATCTAGTGCAATGCTTTTCAACCTTTTCAGAGATTGTACCACTTTTAGGATATGGCAATATTCGAGTACCACCAGTCGCCTAGCAGGTGGGCATGGCCTGCTCGATGCCACTCACGGACACAGCTGACTCGAGACAGCTGGGTCGGAATAGAACAAGTCGCACTGGCTAACTCAATGTGGGGACAACTTGGTGCCCCACAAACTCCTCACCTCCCCAAACTGCTTTCAGCCAAGTGCATGCATGTACATGCGTACACACACACATGTACACACACCTCATTCCAAGTTTGGGGACTTTTATCCACAGAGGAAGGCGAGGGCAGACATGATTGGCAGTTTGCTACCTGAGATGTGGATACAAGTCTCCAAGCTTGGAATGGTGTGTGTGTGTGTGTGTGTGTGTGTGTGTGTGTGTGCATAGCACTCTAAAGAAATTTTCATCTCCCAATCCCAGACATCGTTGGTGTCTCCCTGTCCGGTGCCCCCTTCTGGCAAAGCAGGAGGTGGAGGACAACGCTGCTGCATGTGGAAGCATGGAAAGTTTGCAGGAAGCAGTTTCCTCTGAGTCCAACTTCTGTCTTGACAGATCTCTGGAGAGCCAGAGGAGGAGACAGGGGAGCAGTGCTCCCAGGTCCCGCACAAGGGAGGCTGGCCCTTCTCGAAAGGGAATTCCCATTTTCAGTCGTGTGTGGTAAGGGTGCTGGCTTGTTGGGGAACCTTCCCTCACACAGCTCCCCTGCCACCCCCTCCTCCTCTCCAGAGATCTGCAGGGGAGATAGAGATTTGAAGGGCAAGGTGCAGCCTCCATATTGGCTCCCCCCCGCAGCTATTTCCTTTGGAGCCTTCCTGATCCCGACGGGCCTGCTGGCATAAGTCTGCCTGCTTCATCCTGCAAAGCAGGGCTCACCCAGTGGTTCTGCCTGCCGCCATGCCGGCAGGCCCGTTGAGATCAGGAAGGCTCCAAAGGAGGTAGCTGATGGATGTACTTGCAAGTCCAGTCCCAGCTATGGCGAGAAGCAGCAACTGCATCTGGGCCCAGGAGCTGAGGAAAAGAAACTGGAGGGTGAGGTGGCTGGGCTACCTTCTGGCCTACTAATTCAGGTTTTTCTTTGATTGCAGGGTGGGGTCAGGTAGGCTGTAGGCGGCGGGGTCTGGTCCCTCACTGTCTCCAGGGTGGCCCTGGGCCAAATGTAAACACCCCACGGGCATGTCTATTTTATATCCTCTACTCTTTCCCCCTCCTCCTCCTTTTGTCTTCGGTGTAGCTGCAACTGACTCCTTTCCCCAGGCTGTGTGCTGCTTCTGGAAGCGCAAGTCATCTGGAGCCGTGCGCCAATCAGCTGGAGCCTGGCGTAGATCCTGAGCACGTAGCACAATCCCGGCAACATTGTGGCGCCAGCTGCCTCTCCCACAGGCCTGTGCTTCCGCTCATCCCCACACTACACTTTTACACTTTTTTACACCTGTTTTTATAGTGGTTTTCAACCCATCGTATACATACAACCTGCCAGGTGCCAATGTACCACCAGTAGTACATGTACCACGGGTTGAAAAGCCCTGGTGGATAGGTTAAAAAATTTCAAATTTTGTGAATGGGCAAGGTTCCTCCATGAGCACCATTTCTCAGAGTTGTATAAGCCTTCTTGAAATTTTAAACATGACTACCAGTTCAAAAAGATTGGGGACCTGTCATACAGTACATCTATGAAAATACTTTGCATAGCTTCTAATAACTATTTGATATTTCTTTTATTTCAGAGTCTTCACAACTTAGGAAAAAGACTAAAACAATTTCTAGTTATCTGCAAAGTACTACAACAACTAAAATAAACAAGAGAAATGCTAAAGGAGAAACTCATTTGCATTTAGCTTGCAAAAAAGGAAAATTATCTTTAGTGAAAACTTTGATAGCATCTGGAGCATGTGTAAATCAAAAAGATAATGCAGGTCTGGTATTTTAACCAACAGTTTAAACTTTTTCTACCGTATTATAGCCCAGAAATGATGTAACCTATTTCTAATTGTAGCTGTTTTTCTTTGCTGCTATCTACTTAGTTAAACAATATCTAACAGTAATCTAATTAGTTAATGTGGGGCCGTTATTATATTTAATCAATATATTTGAATGAAAATATAGTCTTTGATTAATTATTCTGTTTTTAGTAACTGTTCAAAGTTACAATGGAACTGAAAAAGAACCTTTTTGTTATCTAATGTTTATTAAAGATTTTGATTACAATAGTAAGAACTAATAGAAATAGCACTTAGACTTATATAATGCTCCATAGTACTTTACAGCACTCTCTGAGTGGTTTACAAATGTCAGCATATAGCCCCCAACAATCTGGGTCCTCATTTTACCAACCTCAGAAAGATGGAAGACTGAGTCAACCTTGAGCAGTCAGGATAGAATTCCTGACCGTGGGCAGAGTTAGCCTGCAATACTGCATTCTAACCACTGTGCCACCACGGCTCTTAATGCAAACAAAAAAAAAATGAAAAAGAATGAAAATGTTGGAGAGCAACCATCCCAGATGGGAGGAGGGGAGGGCTGAATTGAGGGATCAGCCTGGACTCGGTACATAAACACAAGAGAGCGAGCTTTGACCTCCTCTGAAATCCCTTAGAGCTTTATCTAATTTTTCCCAGGAGAAAGCTGCCAGTCTGAGAAGATTCCTGTATTATAGGCAGAGAACACTAACGTAATTAGTTTGTACTCTACATTTGTGGGTCTGGTTGTTCATGCCAAATAGACAAGAAGCAATAAAAAGTACAAGAAAACAAGAAAAAAGAATAAGATAAGGAAAAGAAATATATAAAAATTGACTTCCAACTTTCTTTACAATATATATAGACAAATTTAGGAACTCTTCACTCCTGTAAGATTACAGCTATTTCTTCTTCCCATTTCTCATCCCTTATCTATAAGCAAATCCATACAATATTAATTTTTCAATCCTAGTATCAGCAAAAAGTCTATAAAGCGTTGCTAGGACTTTGCAAACAAATGTCTTATTTTAATCTTGATCAAATAAATGAACTATATAGTCCTTCCTTTTATTGTAGCAGTTAATCTTTAATTCATTCCAATATTGATGTAGAGTATGATTTCTCTGCAATTCTTCTTTATTCCATCACACAGACTTCTTCAAGGCTTTAACAAGCCTTTTTCTATAGATTGAACAAGTAAACATTTTCTTGGTTTGACATTTGTATTTATATTTCAATTTTTAAAACTTATAATTTTAAAAACTTTAAAAAACAGTCAGTTTCTTTTGTATATCCAATAACACTTTTTTCCAAATCATTTTCTAGGTGTATGGCTTATAGTTCTACTTTTGGTATTTTCTCTGTCTTGTCAGATAAAATTTGCTCCACATCTGACATTCTTTCATTGATATTTACACATAATCTATCATAGACATCATTACTGACACTGTTAATATTGTAACTACTAATTTCTGGGTCCATTCTTCAACAAAATATAAATTTCCAGTGTTATGACAGTTTTGTGTCATTTTGTAAGTTTATGGTAAATTTTACCAAAAGTTGGTTTGCATTTTTTTCCTTCTACTTAAAATCTTTAGTCTCCTGTAATGTCCAGTTTCTAAAATCATAAAGTTGCTTATTTTTTGAAACAAGATAATGAAAATAACTCTGGTTCCAATAAGATGTTATTTATTTTTTTACAGTTAATTCCAAAATTTTATAATAAAAGTCAATATTCCAAATTTAACTCAATTGTTAATCTGTTTATAACTTTCTTAGATGAAAATCTTACTTAGGTTTACAGCTAATAATTGTAAAATGGTTAATAGACAATTTCTGAAAGGGATTAGAAAGTGAGACTTGCGAACTTAAGTGTCCTTTAAAAGCCTTGGTCTGTGAGCAAGATGGCTAATCACTTTATCTCCTGGTGCTGAAACGCATGGAAGACCACTATAAGGAGCAGCCATCTGGAGCCCATGTGGTCAATCTCCTATCCTCTCCTTATCTAGATAACCGTCTACTCACTTTTTTATAAAGTCTTTGCCAAGGTCATGAGCTTGCTTTTGTAGATGTCTTCAGATTGCCATGCCTCCCTTAGATGTCCTGAAAAAGTGACTTTATGACTGGTCCTTGAATTTATGGCTGTCGTAGCATCCTCATGGTTACATACTCACCATTTGTGAGCTTCAAAACCAACTTCCAACAAGCAAAGTCAATGTAGAACCCAGCACTGAAATCATAAGTTGCAATCATGTCTCAATAAATGATCATGTTGCTTAGTGGTGGAGTTGCCGATCCCAATTGTGATCAGCAAGTGAGGACTGGACTACCTACTTCTCTATGCATACACTATACATAAAGTCCCTAATATTCACAGAATTACTTTGAATGGCATTGTTTTTTCCTTAAGAATAGACCACAAATTGCTTTCAAATTTTCTTCCTGCTACAAATTATATAATCTTGGAACAAATTATGCAGTTCTTTGAGTTCAGGCTAATATATGATACAATTTTTAAAATATTATCCATGTAATGGTTACATATATGTATGAAAAAAAGATGTGATTGAAGCATACATTTAGTGTTATGCCTGAATTTGCTTTTACTAGGTTGGACCCCAATTCATGAAGCTTCTAACAGGGGATTTACTGAGATTATTGCAGAATTACTAAAAGCTGGTGCTGATGTAAATAGTAAAAGCTTGGATGGTGTTTTGCCCATTCATGATGCTGTTTCAGGCAACCATTTTGAGGTAATATAGTGCTAACGCGACTTTGACTTAATGCAGGATTTGCTATTTGGTTTCAGACCCTAGTTTCATTCCATTTTAAGAAGGGCTTTGAATTAGTAAAAGTAATGGGGAAAAAGCCTGTAGCAGATGGTATGTATAAATGATTCATAACCAAATATGCAAGGTCGTGATTTCTAATGCCTGGGAAGGTTGACTTTTGGGTAACCCTTATTAGAGCGAAAAAGTAAGGTAATATGAGACAAGATTCAACTTAATTTTGAAATTTGGATTCATTTACTACTAAACTGTTAGTTCTATCACTCTAATTTAACTGTTACCATTAATATTCTTTCTCAGTTTCCTCAGTATTGTCATATAATTTGATTTATTTTAATTAAACATTTTAGTCCATAATATTCATGCATAAGTACATTGTCTCGATTCTCAGTGTGTGAAAGTAAAATTCAAACAATGCATGAAACCAGCACAGGAGTTTGTAAACCATAATTTTAGATATTATATGTTGTGTAAACCAATTTTTAGTTATTTAATAAATGATAGTGAACAATTTACAAGTTTGAACCTAAAAATTGAGCGTTGACTTCTCTATTTCAATAACATATTTATCAATGGTTAACTGTAGTTTACTCAACCTAATTATTTAAGTTCACAGTATTATATTAAATAATAATTGTGGGCTGAGTAGACATAGTAGTCTAATGTATTCTTGCTGATTTGTGGTAGTGAGAAAATAGTCAAAGTCTAGAGTGGTATAAGTGCACAATAACATATAAATATAGTAATGTACTTATTACCTTAGCAGTTTCTCAGCCAACTAGGTAACAGAAGAAATTGTTAAAAATTATATTACAGGCAGTACAGTTGCTGTTGCTCCATGGTGCAAACCCCAACGAAAGAAACAACAACAGGGAAAATGCCCTGGATGAAGCTACTTGTGACCAAATTAAAGAGCTTCTTAAGTCTTATGGTGCTACTGAAGTTAAAGAGACTGTTTTGATGAGTCATGATTCTGGTATGTTGATATCTTCATACAAATTGCAAATTATTGTGCTCTTTATAATATTTTAAATAAGATTTTTTAAATATTTGTGTTCCAGAGTTCCAGAATTATTTTAATTAATTTTAATTTAATTTATTGAATTTCTTCAAAATAAAGGAAATGAGCCCAAACTATCTGCTATTGCACATATGTCAGTCATACAGCATGAATTGCAAACCAGTGCTAATGAACTACAAATAATAGAAAGTGCAGGCTGCGATGCAACAGTGGGCAAAAAAATCACATTTTGTTCTGCTGTGCATTCCTGCATATTTATTTGTGCTTGATTTTTTTATTGATAAGACTATTTATTTGCCATGTCTTTACCTCTTAGTTCACATTTCAGGCTCATTAATCCTGCAATGATAACCTCCTGAAAATGTTTACAATATATACATACTTTAATTTAGTTGAGGCCTAATCAAAGGACAAGCAGGTTATCAATACTATCAATCAAATTAGAGCTGGAGGGGACTTGGAGGTCTTCTGGTCCAGAGCTTTTCAACCAGTGGTACGCAACCTGTGGTACTTTGGCACCTGGCAGGTGGTACGCAACCATCCTAGACAAGTGTAGTGGGGGAGGGGAATGAGCTGAAGCAGTGGCAGCACTGCACAAGCCTGACGGAGAGACAGCTGGAGCTGCAGGGCTATGGGGGCTGGGCAGAAGCCCCAGGATCAGTGTGCAGCTATAGCTGATAGGTGCTTTTGCAGGACAGTGGGGGCTGGGCAGAAGTCCAGGATCGGCACACGCATCTGCAGGGTTATGGGGGCTGGGCAGCCCTGAGAGGAATCAGCTGGAGGTGCATGGAAGAGAAAAGGAAGAGGAAGGAGAGAAGAGAGGATATAAAAGAAGGAAGAGAGGATATAAAAGAAGGGGGGAGAGAAGAGAGGATATAAAAGGGAAGAGAAGAGAGGATATAAAAGAAGGGAAGAGGAGAGGATATAAAAGAAGGGAAGAGAAGAGGATATAAAAGAGAAGAGATATAAAAGAAGGGAAGAGAAGAGAGGATATAAAAAGGGAAGAGGAGAGGATATAAAACAGTGGTTCTCAACCTGTGGGTCCGGACCCCATTTGGGGTCGAACAACCATTTCACGGGGGTCGCCAAACAAGGCTGTCCGCCATTTTTCCCCCTTTTCTTTGGCCACGCCCCTGGCACCCGGTGATGTATAAGTGGTTGGGGGTCACCACAACATGGGGAACTGTATTATGGGGTCGCGGCATTAGAAAGGTTGAGAACCACTGATATAAAAGAAGGGAAGAGAGGATATAAAAGAAGGGGGAGAAGAAAATATATAAAAAGAGGGAGAGGATATAAAAGGAGGGGGGAGAAAAGAGAGGATATAAAAGGAGGGGAGAGAAGAAAGGATATAAAAGGATTAGTGAATCTGGTTTCTCCATTGACTTTGTTTGTCAGAAGGTTGCAAAAGGGGATCATATGATCCTGGGACACTGTCACCATCATAAATATGAATGAGTTGCCAAGCATCCAAATGTAGATTGACCCTGGAGATGCTGCAATGGTCATAAGTGTGAAAAATGGTCATTTTTCAGTGCAGTTGTAACTTTGAACAGTCACTAAGTGGAGGACTACCTATACTTTATTACTTTTTTCACTTTTTTTGGTCATCAGGTTTTTGCTAGGCGACTGGTGGTACTCGGATATTGCTATATCCTAAAAGTGGTATAATTTGTGAAAAGGTTGAAAAGCCCTGTTCTAATCATGTTTAAATGATCATCCACTAGGACTCCAAGGTCCCTCTCACAGTTACTGTTTTTGAGCCAGGTTTTGCCTAATCTGTACTTGTATCTTTGGTTTTTCCTGCCTAGGTATAAAATCTTGCTTTTCTCCACATTAAATTTCATATTGGATAGAGCCCATTGTTCAAGTCAGTCAAGATCTTTTTGGATCCTAAGCTTGTCTTCTGAGGTGTTAGCTATTCCTGCCAGCTTAATATCATCTGCAGATTTGATGAGTTCCCCTTCTATTCCCTCATCTAAGTCATTTATGTATATATTGAAGAATACTGGGCCTAAGATGGAACCTTGTGGTATCCCATTGCTTATTTTCCTTCATGTAGATGTACCATTAAGGACTACTCATTGAGTACGGTTTGTCAGCCAGTTACAAATCCATCTGGTGGTGAAGCTGTCTATCCCACATTTTTCTTGTATACCAAGAAGTAGGCTTTGGTCTACTTTGTCAAATGCCTTGCTGAAGTCTAATTATACTATGTCCACAGCATTTCACTGATCTACTAATTTAGTCACTTTGTCAAAGAATGAAATAAGATTGGTATGGCAAGATCTGTTTTTAACAAACCCACGCTGGCTGCTAGTTATAACTTTACTTGTTTCTAGATGTTCATAGATCTGTTTTTTAATTATTTTTTCCAGTATCTTTCTAGGTATTGATGTTAGGCTGATTGGTCTGTAGTTTTCTGGGTCTGGTTTTTTTTTCCCTTTTTTGAAGGTGGAAACCACATCAGCTCTTTTCCAATCCTCTGGTAGTTCCCTGGTATTCCAGGATTTTTGAAAGATATGGTATAGTGCAGCGGTGGTGAACCTATGGCACGCGTGCCAGAGGCGGCACTCGGAGCCCTCTCTTTGGGCACACGCGCCGTTACCCCAGCCCCGCCTTCCTCTGCGGCCCTCTCCTCACCAGCAGCCCCCCTGGAGGAGAGTCATTCCCGGGCATGGCCCGCACAGAGCAGCACAGCCAAGTACATAGCTGGACAACAGGGACAAGACTCTGCCCTCGCACCCCAAAGCGTGCAGATGATGCTGAGGGGTGTGGGCAGAGGACGTGGCTGCCATGGTGCTGCAGGGCTGCCTGGGTGATCTGCAGCAGGCCAGGGATGTGGTGAGTGGCCCTGCGGGTGGGTGGGGTGGGCAAGGGCGGAGCAGGCAGGGTGGGAGGCGGCGCAGGGGCAGGGGGCGGTTTTTGGGCACTCGGTCTCTAAAAGGTTCGCCATCACTGGTATAGTGGTTCTGAGATAACTTCTGCCAGCTCCTCCAGAACTCTGGGATATAATCCATCAGTCCCTGGTGATTTATATTCATCAAGGTCAGATAGGTGTTCTCAACCCATTTTCTTGCTTATTTTAATTTTTATTTGTAGTCTGTCTTTTACAGTTATGATTTTGGTAGATTGGGCTATAGTTTCTTTTTGTGTGAAGACTGATGCAAAGAATGAGTTAAGCAGCTCTGCTTTCTCTCTACTGCCTGTTACATCCTTGTCATCTTCTCTCTTTAGTGGACCAACTGTTTCCTTGACTTTTTTCTTGTTATTTATATGTCAAAAGAAACTTTTTTTATATTATCTTTGATTTTTGTTGCAAGTTTTTGTTCATTCTGGGCCTTTGCTTTCCTGACTTCATCTTTGCAGATTCAGGCTGTTTGCTGATATTCTCCTTAGTTATGTGTCCTTCTTTCCATTTTTTGTACTTATCCTTTTTGTCTTTCAGTTTATCATAGAGATCTTTGTGCAGCCATGCTGGTTTCTTCTTGGATTTCTTGTTTTTCTTTTTCAGTGATATTGTGTTGGACTGGGCTTTTATGATCATATTTTTATAGTTTCCCACACTTCTTGAGTTGTTATCCCCTTTAGGATTTTTATCCATGAAATTTTGCTTAGGATCTCTCTGAGTTCATTAAAATCAGCTCTTTTAAAGTTTAAGACACTGGTTGGATTATATTCTATTGCTTGTGTTTGCATTATATTGAATTCCAATATGATGTGATCACTCTTGCCCAAGGTTCAGGCAACTTCAACTCCCTCTTATCACTTCTTCTCTATTAGTAAGAATTAGGTCCAGTATGGCTTTTGCTCTAGTTCCCTCCTCTAGCTTTTGGATGACAAAGCTGTCAGCTAAGTTGATTAGGAATCTATTTGATCTACCACTTGCTGCAGAGTTTGTCTCTCAGATGATATCAGGATAGTTAAAATCTTCCATTACTACTGTGGTACGCTTCCTACATACATTTGTTAATTGATTGGCAAAGAGTTCATTTATTTCTTCTGCTTGGTTGGGTGGCCTTTAGTATACGCTGTAGCAATGTTATTTTCCCCCCTTTTATATTAAGGTTAAGTCTATAGTATGTTGGGAATGGCTTGCCAATTGAATAGCATGTGGTATGTAGCATATATATTTATTTGGTTATCAGAAAGTTATATTTAGTGATGAGGCCAATTATTAAGTTTCCCCGTACATACTCACAAGTTGAATATTTTCCTAGGTACTAATTTTCCTAAACGTTCAAATGCTTATCTGTTTTATCTTCTTTCATACTTTATAGTTTCATGTGGTATTTGTGGCACAGGATAAGCCCACTGCTATCTCTTGAATTCTCACATCAGAAAAATAATTTGTGCTATAAACCTAGAATTGACTGAAAGTCCAAATATATTGATTTGACTTAAATGATCTCTATGTCTTTTGTTATTGTGATGATGGATTTTTAATTAGGAAAAAATGACCTGCGCACATCAAGGCTTAGGAGAAAATCTAGTTGTTATAGTTGCCAAGAAAAGGAGAACCTGGTTTTACAGCCCAGTTTAGCTGGACAAAAATATACCACAGTAAGTAAAATAGCTCAGTTGTGTACAGTACAGTAGAACCATGCTACCTGGTTTGTACCAGTGGATCCTGAATTAAGCACAGATTGTGTAATATTATGTTTCTAAGCTACCTTTCAACCTACCTCCCCTAAAAGAAGCTCACAAAGATTAACAGTAGTACAAGATTTAGTTACCAATAACATTATCATTTTAAAAATGTTCAGCTTGAACAAATCCTCCTCCCTCTGCTAAAGCAAAATCTAGTGTTTTTTCCTCCCAAGTATTAAAAGACATCAGGAATAGAGTTGCTGTTTCCCAAGAGAGTTGCAGTCCCTTAAACAGCTGCTAAAGATAGCCACTATTGCAAAGCAACTCGTTATAAGGAGGGGAGGAATTATAAGAAGCTTGTTAGGTCCTAGTAATAGAGGCAGAAATAGGAACACATATTTATCTAAGCGGATTTCAGATAAAACAGCAACCCCATGAGATCCAAAGTTAAAAATTAAGTTTGTAGTTTAATTTAGTCTTTATTATGGTCACTGACCAAAATTCTGAAGATTAACAAAGTAATTAAACAGTTTCTATTCCAAGTAAAATAAAATATAAACATAAAAGTATAACTAAATTACTCTGGGCATCAAGATGTGTCATATATTACAAACAGCATAACAACATTTTGCTAAATTTAAAGGAAGAGAACAATATTGGTTTGATAGGAGTAGCTGTACATAAAAGAAATTAGTTTGTCTAATTTCATCAAATGAAAGAGGTCTTTATGTCCTCATAGAAAGACATTATAACAGAATATAGGCTATAGTTTAAATGAGTCTCACAAGGATACAATTGTAGTTCATAAAGAGCTTGTTTACTCTATTGGAAGTGTATTAAAATGTGCTGCTGTGGGGTCCTTGATGCTTTCTGAGTTTGGTTGTTTTGTTGCAGATGTTTCATTATTAAACTAAGTAACATCATCAGTGCTTGTGTTAGTGTTAATCTCAACTTATCTGGGTGTTGATTGCTGGTGAGGAGGTGCTTGAGGTCTATTTGTTTCCTAACATTTTCATCTTTGTTGAACTTTTAGAATTTCTGTATGTTGAGTTTGCCTGGATTCCTTAAAGACTTGCAGACAAGTGTTACATTAATGTATTTGATAACCAAAGACTTGCTTGCTTTCAAATCAGAAGTGTGTATATTTGTATTTTTTTAAATTCAGTTGCAAACTGTCTTTCTTTAATAGAGTTAACAATGGTTTGCTTTTGACAGCATGAATTAATCAACAAAACATTGCTGGACATAGAAAATAAGCAGGAGAAATTATTGCTGTTTGAATTAAAATGCCAAAGAGATGCAGGTAGGGATGAATCACAGTTAACTTGTGATAAATTTGTCATGTATGAAAACTGATGATAGATGTTACATTGTAGTAAATCAAAGTTTTACCTTAGCAAAACATCTGCTAGATCTCACATTATAGAGATGTGATGTTAACAATGGGGAACATTGGCAAGGTTTTGGGAGAAAAGTTGTTGGAAACAGTGTGCCATTTGACCAATTCAGCACCCTCTAGGTTTGTCTGTATGGCCGATTATGTTATATGCTATTCGTTGGCTGTGGAGGCTATATTTTTTTCCTATTATTCTTCTGTATTGTTAGAAAGCTTTTCTTCTGAGCTTTCCAAGAACACAGGAAGAAGATTGCTTAACACAGGGGTGTCAAACTACCGGCCTGCAGGCCAGATGCATCATAGCAAAACCGTGCCCACCCCATTGCCAGCAATGGCAAAAAAAGCCATGATACATCGCAACATGTCACGTGACATTGCGAGTTTGACACTCCTGGCTTAACACATGCTGCATGGACATTAAAAGCAGATCAGTTATATTGTTGTTGTTGTTAATTGCGAAGTCGTGTCCGACCCATCGCGACCCCATGGACAACATTCCTCCAGGTCTTCCTGTCCTCTACCATCTTCTGGAGTCCATTTAAATTCACACCTACTGCTTCAGTTATATATCAAGTTATATATTATAGAGCAATTGAATCAAAGATCCATATAAGACAGGTACATACCCCATCTAGTTTCAGAATTTTACTACTGTTCATTAGGAATTCTTCGGACATGAATTCTTCGGACACCCTAAAATGTTGTGCCATCCAAAATAAAAGGAGATACCATCTCAATCCCATGTTCAAAGCACTCTCAAATGAATTCTGTTTTACAAATAGCCACTGTAATAGCTGACAATGACATTAAAATAATAATTCATGCTTCAAATGTCATTTAACAAAAGGTACAACTTTATATTTTCAACCTAACACACGGTTGTCCTTTGTTCCTCTGCGGGTAAAAGAATAGGAAAGCAAATAATGAAATATGCATGATGATGAAAGGCTGGCTTGGAGAAGATATAAAACGCATGGCAATGAGAGGCCAGCTTGGAGAACAGCAAAAGGCAGCAGTATGGGCTTGAGATGACATATATAGCGGCAGTGATAGTGCTGGAGTTGGAGATGAAGTAGAACCTGGAGATTGTGGCAGCTAGCTAAGATTGCTGAAGGCCTCAGGCCTCTACAGTTCTGGTGCTGTCATGGATGAATGTCACTGTGCAGGGTGGCTAAAAGGGCATAGATCGGGGAGGGGAGGGGAAGATAGGCAGGTGGGAGAATTGCAGCATCCCTGTAGTTATAAACATTGCTAAGTTGAGTGGGCAGCTGAGGGTTCCCATACCATGGGAACTTGTACATGATATGTGCTGGGCTTTATATTGCATTTGCAGAAAATGATTTTTAAAAAATCATGTCCATTCTTAAAATTATATAAATTTTGAATAGATCTGTATATCCAAGACTTTTCTGAGATACAGAACTCTTTGAATACTATGCTTGCCAGACAGAAATCTGAAAGAGATGAGCTTGCTAAGAAATATAGGTAAGTGGAAGAAAAATTGAGTTATATTGTACTTATTATAGAAAAATAATTATGAATTATGAAACAAAAAATAAAATCATTCATCTATAATAAATTTTGTATTTATGTAATCCATCCTGTTCCCAGAAAAGGTGTCAGGGAGTTATACTAGATAAGCATCTAGATGATAAGATTTTAACTGCTGTGATAATTACTTAATGACTTGTTTTTTTTAAAAAAAATAAAAACATTTAGAATTGTTTAAAAACTTCATTGCATTTAAAATTATTGTTTACTTCCTTTCCATATATTGATAAATTATTCATGCCACTACATCTTGTATTGTTGATTAACTCAATTAACTTTTTAAAATTTAATTTTAGAGCTTCTGTGGAATCTTTTAAACAGGGAGTGCTGAGAGAAAAGCTAGTAAAACTTGCAGCCCGACAAAAGAATCTTTTGCTCATGGCACGAAAACAGAAAGAATTATGGAAAAAAATACAGAATTTTAAAAATGCAGAAAAAGAGGCTTTACAGTTAGCAAACTACGCCCCAGACACAGTTGATTCTTATGAAAACAGCAATACAAAAAACAGTATTTCTGATGAAACAGTGCCATGCCCTAACATAATTATGGGCCATGAGAGTGTCTGGGAGATGGAAAATAGGTCTTTAAATCAAGACCATCCAAATATATTTCCAGATACATCAGGAGAAAATGGAGAAATTAATAATCAGAAGAAAGAGGGTCCACAGCTTTTGGTATTTGAAAACAATGTGAAGAAATGTAACACTGTAGAAGCAACAAATTCAGAATTCTCTGATGCTGCAGATTCAACAACATTGGCTCCAAACTCTCTTATGTCTTCTACTCAACAATTAAAAGAAATTGATTATATATCGATGACAACGCAAGAAAGCCAGAACCTAGGTGCCATATCAAGATTGCAGATACTTAATAACTCAGCAACTGGAAGTAGTAATAATAATAATATCTATCAGCCATTTACTGACAGTCAAAATATTTGCATGAATATGCCTTTGGCACAACATTCAAATATAAACAATGCTTTCTCAATACAACCTATTGTAGAGTTAGAATCCACATGTGGCTTTGTTACTGATCAGGATAACATGGCCCCAAGTAAAAGAATCTCACTTTATGTTAATTTAGAATCTTCAGGGGCATTTTCTCATGTAATACCACAAAACACAATCAATCAGAATTCTTCCCAATATTCGAAGAATCAAGATTCTGAAAAAGAACTATATTTCAAGAAAAACAGGAAGAAAAAAAGTCAGCTATTAGATCTGCTTGAACTGGGAAAAATTAAGCCAGGAGCTGACGTTTTAGAATTCACACTACAGGTAAATAATTCATTTGTAAAGAAATATAATTTCATATTAATGCACAATTTAAAATCTTAATAATAAATATTGTATTCTACCAAAACTCTACATAATTATAACAATTTCCCTTAATGATTAAGGAAGATATTAGATATTCTCTCTCTACATGCACATTTACAGGGAAAAAAATCAGTAATTACAGAAGATTGAGCCCTGGTAGCGCAATAGTTAGAATGCAGTACTGCAGGCCCTGCCCACAGCCTGGATTTTGATCCTGATGGGGTCAAGGTTGACTCAGTCTTCCATTCTTCTGAGTCTGTAAAATGAGGACCCAGATTGTTGGGGTCAACACGCTTACATTGTAAACCACCCAGAGAATGCTGTAAAGCACTATGGTATGGTATATAAGTTTAAGTGGTATTGCTATTATAAATGAAAAGGTGTATATTAATAAATAATATAGTTTTTTCAAGCCCAGCAAAGAAACTTGATAGAGTCTCTCTGGAAAAACCTTATCAAATTAATTGGTCATGCTATCTTAATTTCTTCAACAGAATTAGGAATTTCAGTTTCTGTTGCTCTTTGTACTGATGCTAAAAATAAGAGTTGAGAGAAGCTATATTCTCTTGATTGGCTTTTGTCTTGATTGTAGTGATAAACATGAGGTTTTTACAATTGGCCTCAGTGGACACTTTTCATTTACCCTATTTTCAGTAATAGGAAATCATTGTCTCTAATATTAAAAAGGAGTAATTTGTATCTATTAGATAATGTGCATTTTCCTAGATCTTGAAAAATGTGGACAAACCTACAACAAGTTTTGATATGATATATAAGACCATTTGAGTAGACCTAAAGGATTAAGCCAAAGCTGATTTTATTTTTTCCAAAAGCCATGCAAATGCTCAACAGAATATATAAGCAGGAGATGAAGATTTACCACTCCCCCAATTTTTAGTTCCTTTAGCTCAGTGGTTCTTAATCTTTCTAATGCCGCGACCCCATAATACAGTTCCCCATGTTGTGGTGACTCCCAACCACTTATACATCACCGAGTGCCAGGGGCGTGGCCAAAGAAGAGGGGGAAAATGATGGACAGCTTTGTTTGGTGACCCCCGTGAAATGGTCGTTTGACCCCAAATGGGGTCCCGACCACAGGTTGAGAACCACTGCTTTAGCTAATATTTGGAGCATACTCTTCTCAGCTTAGAGAGACGACTGAGATTTCAAGATTAATAGTTTGAACATACCTGTCTTCATGAATGTAAGGCTATCTAAAACAGCAGTCATCACCATGTCTTGTGATAATAAATCGCACAGAGCACTTATGCCCTATATAATAAAAAATCATATTTTCTGTGCACAGTCTCAGAAACATGACTTTTATATACCAGTGGGCAGTCTATTGTCTCCAGCCCTCCACAGGAAATTCCTTATCATATTCTGTCCTGACAAATACCAGAGAAATTTTATATAGCTATGATGTCTCCTACTATTATCTACTAAGCAACTAAATAGTTAAGAAGATCCTCGAGATAAAGGTGTACCTGTATTTACATGTTTCATGTGAAATCCTTGAAATTTGGTCTTATGTGTTCTAGTTTGACTTTCAGTGTGTTTGAATAAGATATTCTGGTTTAAATGAACCAAGCAATAGCATTGCTGTTTATGTGGTATGATAAATCTTTCTTACTAGAACTGCTGTGGTAAATAAAACCAGTTGACCAACCTTGATCAAAATCTGCATGTTTTCATAACCTAGTCCTAGGCTGTCCCTAGGATCTAGACTTACATTAAAAATATACAGCAATAATCCCCTGGAAGATACCTGACCAAGTGTTACATTGAAAATTGGAGTTAATTTAGTATTTTTGTTTAATTGTGGGAGTGGTCTTTTCTATGTCCCAAATTGCTGGAATATATACTTATTATAGAAATTAAATGAAAATTCTGAAAATGAAACACATTCTTTATATAGTAGCTAACATTTGTTGTTAGAACAGAAATGATGACTTAGTAGTCTTTTAAAGTACACATTTCTTTGTGTTTAAAAACTGTGATGGCTCCAAGGATTATGTAATTAAAGATGGGCTTAGGAGATAAGATCAAGAGGTTGAAAGGATAATATGAAAAGTTAATTGTGCTTTTACATGAATAGATTATTCTTGTATGACTGTAACTAGAATATTTGGCTATCATTTTACTTTTTCCAGTTCTCCAACGTATGTGCATTAAACTTGTAAAAAAATAAATTCAAGCCTTGATTAGAATGTTGGTGTTCAAGCTAGTTCACTGCTTCCAAGCATAATTCACCATTTTTGGCGCTGCTTGCTTGCCCTTTTCTGTCTCATGTTCTAAAATAGAAAGCATACTACAGCACTTTTGTAATTAAACATTAAGAGCAAAAACTATTCTTAGTAAGAAGTAGAATATGAAGGAAGAAAAATGTAAATAAGAAACAACGGGGCAATAAGGACAAATATTCTAAAGAAGAATAAGGGGGGAAATGTAAATAATAAAAGATTACCGTTATGTAATCGCTGTTAAAAAAGGGGGAGGAGTATATACTGTGTGTTTATGTGTGTTATGTTTTGCTTTGTTTTGTTTTGTTGGTTAAAAATAAAAAAAGAGCACAAACTAAAGCATGGTGTTGTGTTTCGATAACAATGATATGCTATTCTGCTGTGGTAGGTATTGTATTTCAGCAAAATGTTAGAAAGCTCTGAGGCAAAACATAGATGCAATAATGACTCAACATACATTGCCACTAAAAAATTCAGTCCTACTATAGAAGGTTGCAATTCTCTTTTTTTTCTTTTTCTGTTGTTATTTCTGTTCAAAAGCAAGGAACAATACTGAAGCAGTATTGTGACAGTAGAGTACAGCAGTTATTACTTCTAAAGAAACCGTTACAAAATGGCACAATAGAGGAAAATAATTCAAATGTAGTGGAGAAACTATATCCCAAGTTTATTCAAGTTCTATTTTTATGCAAGCTATCAAGAATCATTCCTTATTGTATTTATTTTTATTGTTAAATAAATAAATAAATAAATAAATCTGTCAAATAAATAGATAAATCTGCTATCTATCCAGTAGAATTATCTAGAATTCTACTGGATAGAATTCCAAGAAAGTAAAATATTAGTAATTGTACTAAACTACAGAATTTTTAATACAGATAAGAAAGAGAAGCACTCATGGAACTATGGGTTTTGGATTTGTTTTGCTTACAAGCAACTTCAGATAAATCAGCTGTATAGTAGACCATGTGAAATTGCAAGAGATGTTTTATTTTAATTATTGTATTATATTTATAAACATTTTTAAGATTATTTTTATTAAAAACAAATATTTGTATAGTTCTCCTTAAATTAGTTGATCAAATGAGGACCCAGATTGCTGGGGACAATATACTTGCATTGTAAATCACCCAGAGAATGCTGTAAAGCATTATGTGGTGATACATGAATCTAAGTGCTATTGGCTATTGCTAAATTTAGGCAATTTATAATTCTTTTGTTTGTTTTTGTTCTCATTTTCTTTCAGGGTTCCAAACATAAAGCTAGCCTTCTTGGAAATGGAAAAGTTCAAACTGGGAACAACTCAGTTTATCAAAATCCAGTTCAATGGATTAAGGCAATATTAGGAAATGACATTTGTGTAACCTGGAAATATGTATATAATAAGGTGTGATGATGATGATGATGATGGCGATGATGATGATGATAATGATGAAGATAGTAATAATCTACTGCTAGAGTTATCCATTTCAATAGATTTTTTGATTAGACGTTTTACATTCCAATAAAATGAAAACTTTAATATTACAATGATGTTAAAAATGTATTTTGGTCTGGAATGTCTCGTTTGTGGCTGTTAAAACAGAATTCATAGCAGCCATCAATAAACACATAGAAATAGACCATATTTACACATTGTTAAAAAGAGGGTAGTTGCTTGAGGGAAGGTCAAGACTTGGTTGGTAGATGGAGGATTTGCAGTCCAAAACTGGGTCCTAGATGGCAATAAAGTAGCATAAAATGGCAAAGCATTTGCACTCTTGTAGTCCAGGCATTAAAAGATTGATATATTGAGGTTTCGGAAAAGAGGTGAGCTAATCAGTATGTGAAGAAAACCACTAAAACCTGATAGTATGCCACAAATATAACCTCACCTGCAAAAGCTTCTGCAGAGTCCAAAGATTTTGTCAGAATGGCAAAAAACTAGCATCATCATGTTGTGATGAAAGTTCTATTCCTAGTGCAAATATGTGTAACATCAAGATGCACATATTAAAGAGCAGAATTTGCATTGTGGTGTTTATTTAATCATTTGTTTCTGCTTAACATTGCTGTGAAAATCAATATGCACTCAACAAATGTGGGTAATATTGATCTGAGAAGAGGGCTTTCTAGACAGGCTTCAAAGTAAAGCTTGACAAATGGAAAAAAATTAAACATAACAAAGCTCAAAAGGGAATTTTATATTTTAGTATGTATAAAAAAGCATATTCTGTTATATAAACAACATATTATTCAAATGGAATTTTTCAGATCATTAACTAAAATCAGAAAACAATTGCTGCAGATCTGCTCTCAGCCTCACAAGCCTTGGTCAAATCCTAAATGGAGTTCTATCCTCTCTATAGGGGAATGCCCTTGAAGAGTATCTGGAAGCTTCCCCTGGTACAAAGTGCAGTGGTGCAGGTAGTAATGTATGGTTAAAGATCTGCACATGTGAGCTGCATTGATTGCCGGTTTGTTTCCAGATCCAATTCAAACTGCTGGTTATAACCTTTAAAGCTCTACGTGACATTGGTGTGATATTTGAGGGACTGCCACTCCTCAGCTATACCGCCCCCCCATCCGATCAGGTCTGGCAGGGAGGGACATGTTGTGGGTCCTGTGAGTCAGAGAGTTTGGTAGAGTGGAATCTAGGAGAAAAAGCTTCTCTGCCATGGCCATCGTCCCATATTATTGCCCCACAAGGCAAGGACGGCTCTAACTCTATTGGCCTTTCAAAAAGTTCTTAAAACACGGTGCTACTTTGGGAATCCCATGACGGAACAGAGCCTGCTAGATGGCTGTATGACATTTACTGGAATATACTCTTTGTATGTTTGGCCACCCTTCTATTTTTATTTGTTTTCTTTTAAATTTATTGTTTTAATTATTTTTTGTGTATTTTGACTGTTTTATGATGTATCCCACACAGAGTCACTATCTGATATAGGCAGCTACACAAATGTGATTAAATAAATAAATGCATACACTAACATTTTCTACATTTGATACTGGCTTTTTATTTTCTTATATTTGGCTTGCAGGAAATGTACAAAATATATCTATAAATTTAGAAAAAGTTAATGTTTCTTGATTTACCATAAAAGACCTATAAAACCATCAATGACTAATTGTAATGTGTAAAAGTCTTTAAAAAAATCCCTTGAAACCCACAGAATTGTGAATGAAACATTTCTTTTCATATTTTTAAAATGATCACAGTTTTTTGCAAAGCTTATACAGGTAGTTCTCAGTTTACAACTATTTGTTTAGTGACTATTCAAAGTTACAATAGCACTGAAAAAGTGACTTATGAGCAGTTTTTCACACTTACAACTGAGCCTGTCCTTAGCTGGATGCATCTTAAAGGCAGTTACATGAATGTTGCAAAAGATGCAGCTATTTTTAGGATTCTAAGAGAGACATTTTATCCACACTCCTGCTCATTGTGAAACATTTTTTTCAAGGGCTTTTTTCAGCTCAGATGACTAATATATTGTCTGCTGTTTTCAGGTCACATACTGTGGAAGGCCATTATCAACAATTGTTAATGAAATGCATGTTCCTAAAGAACCAGAAGTATTGTTGCAACAAAAAAATCTGCTTGGTATGTATTGACTGAAGTACTATTTCCAATATGATAAAAAATAAAGTCAATGACTTCATTCTCATCTCTCTCCTGGGGGCAGGAATTTGCAACTGCACAAATAAACTACCCCACATACTTACTAGGTTCTCCACAAAACCCCTAATACAGCCTTTCCAAAAGCATATTCTGCAATATTTGCTAAAACACAGTAATGAATCTCTCTTTTTCTCTTTCTCATTCTTTTTCATGAGTGAACTGGAGTATTTTCCCCTCCAGGTCTTTAATCCCTAATACCTACGGAATATACAAAGCTTGGCCAGTGGGAAGGCTGCCTACATCTGCCCCACAACTGTCCTTGCTAGCAGGATTGTTCATGCGCAAGAGCCTTTGTGACAGCACAGTTGTATTCTTCGGCCATGCCTGAGCTTCTGTCCTTTTTGTTCTCTGCTTCTGCTGACTCACACCACCACATTAGCAACCAAGCAAGGCCACTAAAATCCATATGGCACACCCTTTTACTTGCTTTTCCTGCTCTGGACTGTCATATGGTCACTGACAAAAGATGGAACTGTCTGCATCTATCTCTGATTTATCACGAGGAGTTACTTAGATGTGGATCTCTATTCCCTGCTGTTCTTCAATTGCCTATTTTGATTTTGTATACTCATAGATAGAAAAGTGATCACTATTCATCTGTAGCACTAGCAGGGCAATCTTATATATGTATACTTAAAGTAGGTCCCACTGAATTAATCAGTCTACCTTTAAGCAAGCTCACTGGTTTTAGAAGAGAAAATAACTAGCAATTTTTAGTTAAAAATAATTTAAAAAATTTATAGTAATGTATAAAAGGAATGCAGGTAGTCCTCAACTTATCACCACAATTGCGCACAAAATTTCTGTTGTTAAGTAAAAAAATTGTTAAGTGAGTTTTGCCCCATTTTACAACCTTTCTTGCCACAGTGGTTAAATGAAGCATTACAGTTGTTAAGTTAATCACACAGTTGTTAAGTGAGTCTGGCTTCCCCATTTACTTTGATTGTCAGATAGTCCCAAAAGGTAATCATATGACCTTGGGACACAGAAACAGTAATAAGCATGAACCAATTGCCAAGCATCCAAATTTTGATCACATGAGCATGGGGATGCTTCAAAGGTCATAACTGTGAAAAATGGTTATACGTCACTTTTTCAGTGCCATTATAACTTTGAATGGTCACTAAATGAACTGTTGTAAATTGAGGACTACCTATATACAATTAATGTTGTCCCTGATTGTAGCCAATCATTAAAATCAGATGAAAAAAATAATTGATTTTACTTAGGTAATTTTTCTCTTTATTTCTGCTTGCAAATTCTTGCTTCACTGAAAATATACATAGTATTTATACTTCTCTAATATATGGTATCCTGCTAACAGATGATTTAAACACCAGACTATTTTCAGTCATGTGATATAAACAACAATGTTACTAAGTTAACAACTGCAATGATGAACTTAACAACTGTGGCAAGAAAAGTAGTAAAATGGGGCAAAGCTTAACAACTTTATTGTTTAGCAATAAGGATTACTTGTACTTGTCTTCTGTGCTTCTAGCCGAAAGAAACTCCCTCTGCTTTCTAAATATTACTCTTTCTTTTAGTTTAGACATCTTTTTGCCTACTCCACACAGGAACAAAAGCAAAGTTGTTTGTTATTTTCTGTATGAACAAAGGATTAAAATCAACAGTCAGTTTCATGTTTACTGTAATGTGGCATGTAACCAACATAGGAGATCTGGTCATAGCAAAATAATACTACAAACTAAGACATAGGATCTACCCCGGAATCCCTTTTATATGTGAGGCAAGTCAGCACAGTTGATAGTAATTTGTAACTAAAGGAGAGAAATAAGATGGCCAGGCATTTTTGATGACATGTAGTCAGTCTCCAAACCTTCATATATTTTAGTTATTGTTGTTTGGTCCTGTGTGTTTGTTTTAAGATAAAAAGAGAGAGATGTACTTTCTTGTCCACCAAAGAAGTAAGGAAAGAAAGGAAGGATCACAACATTCCTGCCTTTCTTTGGCACTTCGCAGGCTCCTTAATTTCCTTTGCAGCAAACAAAATCTTAATCCCTTCTGGTGTATTTCACAATGCCTTCAAAAGCTCTCTGGGTTGATTTCTGTAAATAGCTTATAGTCTAAGCTATAAGTAGCTTATGTAGCAAACTTCCTCTAAGTAAAATTGATATTATCAGAACTAGGAAACAAAAAGCTGCAGAAGCACAGTGGCCCAAAGAAATAGCTATAAATGCAGCCAGGAAAGAAAACCATTTTTTAGAACATTAGCTTGTGATGCTTCAGACCCAGGAACATATAGTAATTGACGGACAGCAAGTCAAAATAAACTCATAAGCCCAGACTCTGAGATATTATTCAAAACAAGTTATTTGGACTAACAGTTGGATAACAGTTTGTACTTCAGTTTGTACTTCACGCATATACTTTAATCCAGGAAGAAATTCTACATTGTTCTGGGCAAGATTAGTGCTATTTTAGCCACAAAGCCGTTTCCTTCTAGAATATAGATCAATGTTTTCAAAACTGGCAACTTTAAGATGTATGGACTTTAACTCCCAGAATTTTCTAGCCAGCAAAGTCGAAGTCCAAATTCCGGTCCCAATTGGCATCATAAGTTAACAACTTTCTGTATAGTATTGTAACGCCAGCTAAATCCCATCCTGCATTTGTTCATTTGATGGTTGATGTTTTGGCATACATGTTGTTGCATTTGTCTTTGTGGAATGTTGCCCCATTTTCTATCAAAAGTATTTTGTAGTCTATTCTATATCTGCTGTAATATTTGTGTCATCTGCTTTTTATGGATGACACAAAGTTGGATTCCTTTTTTACTTAAGTCATATCTAAACATATGAAAGAACATTGGCCTAACTCTATAGCATTTCACTTGAAGCCCACTTCCAGTTTGACAAGATGTCAGATTGATAAACTTTTTTTCTGACATTATTATAATGAATATGCCTGATAGTATTATCACTTAGTTTCCATTTAACTAGATGGATAATAAAATATGTTGGGAGATTTCATCTGATGTCCAAAATCCAAAGTAGGTAACAGATTTAATGAGGCAAAATATTTCAAAGAAGCAGCATATTAGAAAGCAGCTGCTTCTTTGAAATATCTTGCCTCAGTCGAGATGGATGGATGGATGGATGGATAGATGGATAGCACACAGACAGACAGACAGACAGACAGACAGACGGTTTGAAACATTCTGCTTTAATGTTTTACCACTACTAAGAAGAAAGACTTGGAGATTCCTTGGACCTAGGAGAGGAAGAGCAAGGGTTGGTGATAATGGTCATTGTTGGGGGAAGTAGGCAGTAACTCTGCATGCTTTTTGATATTATCATAATGAACCTTACACATTAGATATTGGATAGTTCATTGTGCATATTAACACAGTAATTGAGCTGAGTAAACTAAGTTTACTAAACTGCAGGACCTTGTCCAGGCAATCTCCAAGAATGAAAGATCATTGAATGAAAGAAAAAGGAAAGAAAAAAAGAAAGCTCAGGCTAGTTAATGTGGGTAAACATACTGTATTATATAAATGTCGTAATTTAATGATCTGCTGAAAGGAACCACAAATGCAAAATGAGATTTGAATTAAAATGTGTATATTTGTTAATTAAGCATTTTGGGTTAACATCAGTGGTGGGATTCAGCCGGTTTGCACTACTTCAGCAGAACTGGTAGCTAATTTCTTGTTACCCAGGCCCAGAATGGACTTCTGAAAGTGGCATACACACAGAGAACCGGTTGTTCGCATATTTGAATCCCACCACTGGTTAACATTTTATTACTAAATAATATATATTATAGAACTATTCAATATTTATTAAGAAATTAAATGAAACTTCATAAAACGTTTGCATGCATTTCAAGAAAATGACCATATCCCAATACATACAGTATAACTTAATCCCTTCATTTTGAGTATGGTGGAGTTTGTTAGCCTAATAAGGATAAATGAACATGATTAATAGACCTGTGGTTGAAACTTATAGAATCTATAAAGACTATATAACTAACTCTATAGAGACTATAGATCTGACTGCAAATTTGTCTTGTCTTGCTCACTGCAGGAAAGAGATTTCTTATGGACATTTTAGATTTAAGGCTTGATAGATTAATTTAGTTGGTGTTTCATGTTTTCAATAGACTCTTCCTATCAGGCTAATTCCTCAAAAACACCCTGCTTTCTACAGTTCAACAAAATAATGTTAATAACAGATGAAGAATTTCTGCCATGGCATGTAGGAGAAGAATACTGGGACTCCTATGTCAAATATGAAAATTTTGGATTTTAAACATTTTCTTTTCCATGGTGAGTGACATTTTGTGCATTAGGTTTTTAAAACATTGTTTTATTAATAAGTTATAAAAATTATGTAATAACTCTCTTCTAAAATCTAAAAAAGTGAAATTTTGTGACTATGGTCTGTGGGAGACAGGAGCTTCAACAATAATGTCAATAAATATGTTGAAGATGAAATTTTACTTTTTCATTTTTGAAGGAACTAATAATTTATAAGAAAATAGATACATTAACCCTAATAGAAGTAGATATATCTATTTTCTTTTTACATATCTGTCAGTAAATGTAAATTATGGTAAGACTTTAAAGCACAGATTAACGTGGGAGTGTTCTTCATAGGAGCTCTATCAAGAAAATACGATTTTAATTCAATATAATATATGGGTCAGTTTTCACATGACATTTTAAAAGAAATTAACAAAATGACTATTCAAAAAGAGGAGGTGTATTTTTACATGTTATATATATATATATATATATATATATATATATATATATATATATATATATATATATATATACACACACACACACACACACACACACTCAATTTTCTCTGTGTACCCATGCATATTAACTAATAAGAATGATTACCTTTAATTAATAAAGATTCTTGTGGGATTTTTTTAAACCTTAAACTTAATTTTAAACTTTAAACTTAATTTTATCATAGAAACCAATTAGTAACAGAATAAAACTGTTTCACTTTATTGTCAGATATGAGAAAGTAAAGATTCATATCTGCAGTAATTAGCTATTGCTTAAGGGGGAAAAATTGGCTGCATTGTTTTATAATGGAGATTCTTATATATTGGCAGTGATGCTTGCTGTAATTTTTAGCACTGTAATTTGAGACTCAATTACCTGAATATTGTGCACATTTTTGAAACTCAAAAGTATTTATTTTTGAAGCTATTTATCTTCACACCAAGATAGTCCTGGACATACTTGCTTGCTATTTAATGCACTCATCATTAAGGACAATAGAATTAATATTTAAGAAGAGAAAACCCTGTGGGAAGAATTATAATCTATTTACTCCTGATAATTAAATCTTATTGTTATTTTTTATTCATTAATTAAATTTATATGTCACCCATCTCACTATGAAGCAAGACTTTATTGAGATAAAATTGAATGCATTTTCCAATAGCTGTTTTTAAGTCCAGAAAGAGGGATGCTTAATTATCAGTGTTTTGTTCAAAATCACTTATGAACATTTAGCAAGCAAAACACATTTTTTCCCAGACAGATTAACCTTGTTGAACTAAGTATACTATTAGCTATATAACATATCGGCAGTATTATGCTATGTATCAGCCACTGAAAGGACTGCACATATCTTACAATTGCTTTTATTTCCTAGAATATCTGTAGTTTTTCAAGTGTCTGTTCCTTGGATTAAACAAAATATTAAAACTGGTAAATGAAGATATGCATGAACTTCGGCTTGTAAAGAGGTCAAGGAAATGATGCAGAATATTTCATCGTAGTCTTTCAACAGTTAGCTATTATGGATGCTAAAATAGCAGTACTGAAATGATTGATTATTGGCTTAGGCAACAGGATAACTTCAGATATTACAGAGGTTAAAAAAAATCTGTAGGAAGGAGTGAAGTTGTTTTGTGCTAAAATTGTTGGAAGTAACTAATTCAAATGCCAAAATTGTCATGAAATGAAAGAAAATTACATTTGGATGAGGAGTAAGGTATTTAAACAGGGCTTACTGCGTCCCATTTTCAACCCTGTTGTGTTATAATTATGTTTTTCTTTTGTGACAAGAAACAGAATGAAAAGATTCATTGACAGTTCAGCATTAGTTCATATTCAAGTTTTATATGTACAAAGTTTTAAATGTACGGAGGATTTATTTTACTATTCACTTGAGTAATGTTTATACTGTTTTGTTGTAAAAGTCAAAACACTTAATAAATCAACAATATTTCAGCAATCAGGCTTTGCAGTAACATTTTGGATTATATTCGTAAGTCTCTATTTCATCTGCATTTGGACTTACTAAAGTATAAACACTAATTTTATTATCTTTTCTTGAAGAAAAAAATCTATAAAACTTTGTACAAAATGTAACAGTACAAAACTGCCTAGCATACTGACTGCTGTTTTTCTTAGGGATGAAATTCAAGGGAAAAGTCCAAAATACATTGGCTTTTTGCTATAATTCTAGAAATAGCAGTAGAGAGACAACATAATGAACCAGGATGAACAGCAATAGTAACTCATGCACAGATCCCCACTCGGTTGCAATTTTATTTATTGATTGATTGATTCATTGATTGATTTCTATAGCCCCCTCATCTCAGGAAATGACTCTGGGTGGCTCAGAATTCAGATTGGATCAGAAGATTCCTCTGACATGTTTAATTTTTTCTTTTGGTTTTTGTATTGTGTGAATCATCTTGTAATCTACCCAAAGTCCATTAAATTTGAACAAGATATAAATATTGGAAATAAATAAAATAAATAGGTTATTCATTTACTTTGAGAAAAGTGCAATGAATTGAATGGCATTTTCTCTCAAGTAAGTACACTTTTATTTTGTAGATATGATGGATCTCAATGGAGAATTATGGTGTCTTTTGCAATCCTACTCTATTAGATCTATTAGATCTGTGCCCATACAAATATCACTATTTAGTAACAGTTATAGATAGTATACAATGCTTTGCTGCAGAAAAAATAATGTATACTTCGTTTTTTAAAATCATTCAGTTTAAAGAAAAAATTATTGCCATATTTATATTTAGGAAGCCATATGTTAAATAAATAAACTTCTTTAGGAAAATGTGGAGTGTAGTTAAGCTTTGAGCAGATTTATTCCAATACTCAAGCCATACATGCATGAGAGTAATACTTACTTTAATAATGAAGATATATTTCCCAGTAAAATCTGGGTTAACTGAATAACATGGGTTTGACATTCTGGAAAAATAATTTAAGATGTGTTAGGCAGGTGCTGTGTTCTGAAGCCCTTTTTTAGGACTGAACCTGAAGAGTTCCACAGCCTTATTAATGGCATATCTTTTTCACTGTAAATCACTTAATGACACATTTAAAATAAAAGCTGATTTTTAAAATGAATTTCTGATATAACTCTGGTCCTTCTTTTCAAAACTTCCTATGGAATACGTTCATTTGAGGCTTTGGGATATAATAAAAATATTAATTTCAGTACTTGGTAAAATCATTTAGCATTTTTACATGTGCTGTTAATTTATTCTGGAACAAATTATATGACTATGGCACATATTCTAAGTCAGTTAAATTTAAAAACAATGAAGACCATTGTAAAGCATAACATATTCTACTCACTCGTTTTTTTAAATTGTATTTACAGATACTAAATAGAAAGCAAATCTAATGTTAGTATGTTTGTAAAAATGTCTAATAATAACAAAAAAATATCAGGATTGGTGACATTTTTATTAATTTTTAACATATCTGAATAACCCAATATGGGACAGAAAACAAAATTGTTTTTGTCCCATTGTTACTTGCGAAGTCGTGTCTGACCCATCGCGACCCCATGGACAACGTTCCTCCAGGTCTTCCTGTCCTCTACCATCTTCTGGAGTCCATTCAAATTCACACCTACTGCTTCAGTGACTCCATCCAGCCATCTCATTCTCTGTCGTCCCATTCTTCTATTGCCCTCAATCTTTCCCAGCATTAGGCCCTTCTCCAGTGAGTCCTTCCTTCTCATTAGGTGGCCAAAGTATTTGAGTTTCAACTTCAGGATCTGGCCTTCTAAAGAGCAGTCAGGGTTGATCTCTTCTAGGACTGACCGTTTTGAACGCCTTGCAGTCCAAGGGACTCGCAGGAGTCTTCTCCAGCACCATAGTTCAAAGGCCTCAATTCTATGGCGCTCAGCCTTTCTTATGGTCCAACTTTCACAGCCATACATTGCAACTGGGAAAACCATGGCCTGGACTATACGCACTTTTGTTGGCAGGGTGGTGTCTCTGCTTTTTAGTATGCTGTCTAGATTTGTCATAGCTTTCCTCCCCAGGAGCAAGCGTCTTTTAATTTCTTGGCTGCAGTCCCCATCTGAGGTGATCTTTGAGCCCAGAAAAATAAAATCTGTCACTACCTACATTTCTTCCCCATCTATTTGCCAGGAATTGAGAGGGCCGGATGCCATGATTTTGGTTTTCTTAATGTTGAGTTTCAAGCCAACTTTTGCACTCTCCTTCTTCACCCGCATCAAGAGGCTCTTTAGTTCATCTTCACTTTCTGCCATTAGAGTGGTATCATCTGCATATCTTAGATTGTTGATATTTCTCCCGGCAATCTTCATTCCAACTTTTGATTCATCTAGCCCTGCCTTTCTCATGATGTGCTCTGCATATAAGTTAAATAGGCAGGGCGACAGTATACAGCCTTGCCGGACTCCTTTTCCAATTTTGAACCAATCAGTGGTTCCGTGTTCGGTTTTCACTGTTGCTTCTTGACCCGCAGATAGGTTTCTCAAGAGACAAATGAGATGGTCTGGTACTCCCATCTCTTTAAGAACTTGCCACAATTTGTTGTGATCCACACAATCAAAGGCTTTTGCATAGTCAATGAAGCAGAAGTAGATGTTTTTCTGGAACTCCCTAGCTTTCTCCATGATCCAGCATATGTTGGCAATTTGATCTTTAGTTCCTCTGCCTCTTCGAAATCCTGCCTGTACTTCTGGTAGTTCTCGATCCACATACTGCTGGAGTCTAGCTTGTAGAATTTTAAGCATAACTTTACTAGCATGTGAAATGAGTGCAATGGTGCGATAGTTTGAACATTCTTTGGCATTGCCTTTCTTTGGAATTGGAATGTAAACTGACCTTTTCCAATCCTGTGGCCACTGTTGAGTTTTCCAAATTTGCTGGCAATTGAGTGTAGCACTTTTACTGCATCGTCTTTTAAGATTTTGAATAGCTTAGCTGGAATACTGTCACCTCCACTAGCTTTGTTGTTGCTCAGATTTTCTAAGGCCCATTTCACTTCACATTCTAAGATGTCTGGTTCGAGGTCAATGACCATCTCACTGTGGTTATCTGGGATGTTAAGCTCATTCTTGTATAGTTCTTCTGTGTAGTTTTGCCATCTCTTCTTAATCTCTTCTGCCTCTGTTAGGTCTCTGCCATTTTGGTCCTTTATCATGCCCATCTTTGCATGAAACGTTCCCTTCATATCTCCAATGTTCTTGAAGAGATCTCTGGTCCTCCCTATTCTGTTGTTTTCTTCTATTTCTTTGCACTGTTCATTTAAGAAGGCATTCTTATCTCTTCTAGCTACTCTCTGGAATTCTGCATTCAATTGGGTATATCTTTCTCTTTCTCCTTTGCCTTTTGCTTCCCTTCTTTTCTCAGCTATTTGCAAAGCTTCCTCAGACAACCATTTTGCTTTCTTGCATTTCTTTTTCTTTGGGATGGTTTTAGTTGCTATCTCTTGTACAATGTTGAGAACTTCCATCCATAGTTCTTCAGGCACTCTGTCTATCAGATCCAGTTCCTTAAATCTATTTGTCACCTCTACTGTATATTCATCAGGAATATGATTTAGTTTATACCTAAGTGGCCTAGTGCTTTTCCCTACTTTTTTCAATTTAAGCCTAAATTTTGCAACGAGAAGCTCATAATCTGAGCCACAGTCAGCTCATGGTCTTGTTTTTACTGACTGTATAGAGCTTCTCCATCTTTGGCTGCAGAGCACATAGTCAATCTGATTTCTATATTGACCGTCTGGTGATGTCCATGTGTAGAGTCGTCTCTTTGGTTGTTGGAAAAGAGTGTTTGTTATGACCATCGTATTCTCTTGACAAAATTCTATTAGCCTGTGCCCTGCTTCATTTTGTACTCCAAGGCCAAACTTTGTCCTATTAGCATTTCAATTTTTGATGCAACATATCTTATTGCTTCCCTTCTGAAGTATGCAAAATGCAGAGTAGTTTGTAAAAGCAATATTCACTAAATATTGAAAAGTTTGTTGAAATAAACACAAGCACTTTAAGTATCTACAAAGAAACAAAATGGATATTTACAGCCAGGACATTCTACAAATAGATATCAAGATTGAAAAGACTTCTATAACCATTGGACTGATATTTTAGAATGATATCACCAGTAACAGATAGATATGTGGCTGGAACAGAAATTAAACTTCATAGAACTAAATAGAACACATACATATTCTTAATACACAAGCATCTGTGACACCAGGTAGGTATATACACACGAGAGAGAAAAGAAAAAGTACTAGATATTATACTACAGGTATTAGGTTATTACATCCTATCAACAGTATTGAAAATCTACTTGGGATCAATATGCTTGATTATTAAAATGTGTGTAACCTGTGCCTTACAATATATAACTTGAGGAAACGTCTCATTGTTATTAGGACCACAGTATACATTCTCAGAATAATGTAAATCAGGACATAATCAGGAATGCCAATTCTGAACTCTATAAAGATAAGCTAGAAGGGCTTGCAAAGGGTTCAGTGCAAGCAAACTAGGGGGAATCAGATCTTAAACATCAGGATCAAAAGCGACTAGTTTTGTATTAGTGCTAGTTTTCCCTGGTGCTTTTTTAAGCCATGCAGCTGGCCCTTCTTGGTCAAGCTAGTGCTTGGTGGCACAAAAGTAGCAGTCTCCGCCATTATGCTGATCTCCTTAGCCATGAGATGGCTTGTCATTCCAAACCTGACCCTTCCATTTGTGAGTAAAGGTGCCATCTAGGGCACATCTTTACAACAGGTGCAATGTCTTGGCCACTAGGTCTTAAGGCAAAACAAAAATATCAGTATAAATCTGCTTGTCTTCTTGCCACACTCAATTCTGCCTGGTTAAAGAAGTTGATGACTACTGCTCTTCTAGGTTTGCAGGGAATGATGGATTTCTTGCAAGAGTGAACATGTTCATCATACATTCTTTCTAATGTAAGGAAGGACTGGAAGATGAGGCAGGTTCTGACAGATGGTTAGAGTTATGAGTTTAGCCATCTGTTGTCAGAATCTGATTTCTGGGAAGAATGGATCTGAAGATCAGGAGACTTCAAAATGTGGGTGAATTACTGCTACTAGCATCAGTGTTAGTCTGATCTTGGAGAACAGATTTTATAGCCTGATGTCACAACTAAAAACATTTTGTACTTCTCAAAAATTGTGTCTCCTTATTGTCT